CCCTCCCTCCGCCGCGGGACGGAGCCCGCAGCCCGGGCGCGGCCCGACCCGGGTCCCCGGACCCCACCCCGCGCGGCCTCCGGCGTCCTGCTGCCCGCCCCCTGCCTCCCCTCGAGCCCCGGGGGGACGCTTCTGTCGCAGGGTCTCCTGTTCAGACATCAGAGCCGGGAGACCCTGAGGAAGCCCCAGGACCTTTGGAAATGGAGGTCAGGAGCGGGGACAAAACCACCCTCCCCCAAACTCCCGGCAATCTGCTGCCCAAACCCTCTTTGGCCTCAAGAGTCAGCAGCCCCCGAAACGAACATCCGCCCACAGCAGACCAAAATCCACCGCCTCCCCCACCCGGTGGATGTGGTGGGCAGGCCCGGGTGGGGGGCAGGGGTGCTGTTCACTCTTACCTAGTAGGGGAGGAGGAGGGAGGGGTATGGGAGCAGCTTCTGGAGGGCCGGGGGCCCCATTTACTGCTGACGCCAGCCTGGCTTCTGCATCCGGGAGGCAAGAGTCCCCTCTGAGATTTGGGTGGGTCTCAGCCCAGCACCGGGCATGGCGGGGGAGGGGGGGGGACCTCTTCATCTGACCTGAAGCCCGGGAAGGCCCGATTCCTCCCTCTCCTTGAGGTGAACAATCTGCCCCTCCTGGTGTGGGGGTTCGGGGGGGCGCCTGTCGGGGACCTGGCCGGGACCAGCAGGAGGGCGTCTGACCCTGTCCACCCTGACACCCCCGTGGCCGAGTGCTTAGGGGTGGGGGCCCTGGTTCCCTATGAACTAAGGCAAGTTACGTGAGGCTCCTGGACCTCGGTTTCCTCATCTGTAAAAGGGGGTAGTCAGGGTACCCACAGAGAGGGCCCCGACTCAGTTGCCGCTGAGCTGTTCTGGGGTTGCCCGCGGGCCACAAGAACAGGGCGACCTCTGCCCGTGTAGATCAAAGGCGCTGCCCCCAGCTCCCCCAGGCCTGGTGGGCGAGCGCGGCAGGAGGTGCGGACCTCGGGAAGAAGTAAGGTCTTAAGTCCCTTGGACAGATGTCACCTGGAGAGTGAGAGGGACTGAGCCGAGCAGAGGGCCTCCTTTAGGGGAGAAGCTTGGGAGAGCTCTGGTCCCCGGGGTCATCTCCGCCCCCGCCCAGGAAGTGCTGTTCCCCAGCAGGGGACATGAGGCACAGGGGTGGAGGGGCTTGCTGGGGCCCCCACGTGTGCTGTCCCTGAGGGGCAGTCTGTGTGCGTGACCTGATGGGCACAGCCACTCACCCTGCGTCTGTCTGGGGCCCGGAATTTTAGTTTCGGTTTCCAGACGGATCGCGGCTGCTGGTCGTTTTTGCCCGTGGCAGTGACCGTGCTCGTGCGACCGACCGTCTGTAAGAGCGTCTTTATTTCTGGTGAGAATCCCTGCCCGTCTGCGGGGCCCCGCAGGATGGTCATCTAGGTCAGCACAGGCCTGGCTCCTTGTCCGGCTCTCTGGTGACAGGCAGCCTGACCACCCCGCCCCCCAGGTTCCCTCACCTGTCAGCGAGGGAACATACCCACCTTCCAGAAGATGGGGGAGGGACCGCAGACACTGCGGGGGAGAAAGCATTTGGAAGACACCTGCTGGTCACCTGTCCAAGCTCCCGTCAGAGTCGGGGCTCTGATTTCCCATCCAGAGGCTTCTTTGGGGAAATGGCATGCGAGTCAGCTGAGTCTGGCCCCGGAGCCAGGTTTATGGGACGTCCGGACCCAGACACAGGAGCCAGGGGGCGTGGACGTCGCAGACTGAGCCGGGAAGGTGGTCTTCTTTGTGACCGCTGCCCGAGCCTGGAAGCCTCATAGCAAGAGGCAGCGGGAGGCTTCTGCGTGGGGCGGGCCCAGCACGGCCCCTCCCTGCTGCCATGCTGGGTGCCAGGCTGGGCATGGCCAGTGGGTCTCCCGGGCCCCACCAGAAAGGGAGGGGGCCTCTGCGGGGCTGGGCTTCCCTGACCCCCACCGTGGAGGGGTGGAGTCAGCTACGCTAAGCACTGCAGACATTTGCTCTGGACAGGTCCCCCCTGCAGGGTGTTGACCCGCAGGCACGGTCTCCGCCCACACAGGCGGGGCAGCAAGTCAGGCCCAGCCGTGACCTCTAAAACTGGCTCCGGACGTGGCCAGGTGTCCCTGGCGGGGGGGGGGGGGGGGGCAAGGCCACCGCAGTCGAGAGTCCCTGAACCACCCCTGGCCACCTGGCAAGTGGAACCGTCTGCTGTGTGCTCTGTGACTTACACGGCCAAATCCTGCCCCCAGATTCCGTGTGACTCTGACGGTTGAGCACGGCCCTGCAGAATTAGCCAAGTATAAGACCATCATCGTGGCTCCAGTCAGCCTGAGCAAAGACCAGGGTCTGGTGCTCGGGAAGCCAGGCCCCACCGGGCAGGGTGGGGTCAGCCGGACCTGGAGGCAGGGCAGAAGGGACAGAGAGGCCCCACGGACGGAGTGGTCCCAGTGGCTGTGGGAGCAGCTGTGGACAGGGCCACAGGGCCAGGCGGACTGATCTCCTCTGTCAGGCAGCGGGAGGGCGGGCGCTGAGCCCACGGAGTCCGGGGAGCCCGTCTGGTGAGAACGCAGGAGCCGGGCGCCGGGCTGCAAGGACCCCCGGCACCAAGTGCCGCTGAGGCCCCGCTGACCCGGCCACTTGGTCCTCCCTGACCCCGCCTGCTGCCCCTCCTCCCTCCCAAGTCACAGGTGCCCCTCACCTGTCCCTGCACCTGTGCCTCGGACACCGGGCCGGCTGCGGAGTGCAAAAGGAGAGTTAAATGCCATGGATTCCAAGGATTCAACAGGTCACCACCCTCCCCCGCCCACCTGGTGCGGAGACAGCAGGAAGTCCCCTGAAAGTCACCTAAAAGGTGGTGTGGATGGGTGTGGAAGCCCCTGCGATGCGCCCTGGTGGCTTCTGCCGGCTCGAAGCTAAGTACCCGTGTGGGTGGGTTCTGGGCACGGACCCCAGGGCCCCCCGGGAGGATGCGGCACCGGGGTGAGGGCAGCAGGGCGGAGCTCGCACCACCACAGCCAAGAGCTCGCTTCTCACCGTGTGAGAATGTGAACCGAAATCGTCCCTGGGCCTGAAGGACCCACAGACCCCTCGGGAAGACGGACACGCAGCACGCAGCCCTCAGGGCCCCGGGTGTCTCTGGAGGAGCTGTGCCGGGGAGCAGACCCGCCCCTGTGACCCCATGGTCGCCGCAGGGCAGCTGGCCTCCCTCTCGGGAGCTCCGTTGCCCGGACAGTGTGGCTGGTATTTGCCCGAGTCCGTGCCCTCGGCCCCTCCCTTGCACTGGCCCCCGGACACCAGGCCAAGGCCAGCAGCCAGTGAGGACCTAGGGAGAGCCGCTCTGCAGAGCCGACCAGCCAGAGGAGAGGCGGCGGGTGGGGACGCGGGGGACGGGGGTCCCCAAGGAGCATGGGGGCAGCAACACTCCCTGCGCGGCGCCGTCTTCCCTGCTAAAGTCGAAGCAGACAGCCAAGAGGGACCGGGAGGGCCTGCTGCCTTCAAGCTGGCGACGGAGGCCCATACAGGGATGGCCAGGGAGCAGAAAGGAACCACAAGCGACCTTTTCAACGTCGACAGAAGCCGTAGCACACCGCGGGGACAGGGCGCTCTGGACGGCTCTTTGCAGGACGTGCAAACAACAGTGCTGGTTTCTGGAAGAGTTGGAATCTCCCACGGCGTGGGCAGAGAATGAAAACCCAGGACAGAAGAGGCCGCAGCGTGGAGACAATGCCAGAGGTTGGAGTGCGGGATCCGGGCCGTGCCGGAAAGAGGGGCTGGAGAAAACAGGCGGGGGAAAGTTTGCACGAGAGATCACCAGGATGCGCCCAGACCTGCGAGGCCCGAGGAAGGGGCTGGAAGGAGGCACAAGTCTGTGGCTCGGGGAGTGCATGTGGACCTTTCCCCACAAGTGCTGGTGCTCCCTGTCACCCCCCACCAGAAAGTGGGAGCCACACCTCCACAGGGCAGGGGACGCCCCAGGCTGTGATCGTCCAGGGAGCCAGCGTCGGAGCGTGTCTGGTGTTTTCCCAGGAGCAGAGCACCGGACAAGAAAGGAGGCCTCCGGATTCTGGAAGAAAATAATCTCCCACGGGACTCTGAGCTCAGCAGGTTACCCGCCCCAGGGACAAAGATCTGCTTCCCGTGAGGCTACCTCGTAGCCTCAGGAAGGTGGGGAGCTCCAGGACCGTTCCAGGATGGGATCTGGGCGCAGAGAAGGGAGCGCCGGGGAGAGAGGCCAGGGTCTCTGGGAGAACCAGGGCCGATGCACTGATCGCATGGAGTGTGTGGTCCAAACACGCGAGGCAGGGACACGGGAACGCGTGGGGAGTTAACAGGAGGACAGCCGCCGGTCAACAAGAGGGAATTATTAACGAGGGGAGGCCAGGCGCTGGCGTCCTGCTCAGCCGAGCCGGCTGTACTAACACAGACACCCACGGGTCCTGCGTACTGGGCTAGAATCCTGTCCACACGGCAGGGAGAGGCTGGCCTCTGCGATCAGGAGATCTCAGACTAGCAGACATCGGGGAAAAGCTGTAGAGCCCGGAGCGGTGGCCTGTGGGGGACAGGGCAGTGGAGGAGGGGACACCTGTCTTTCACGGTAGGCCTCTCGGTGCCGTGTGACTTTTGGACCTGTGCCCGGGGAGTTGTGAGAACCCTGAGGTTAGAAGGAGGAGGTCAGAGTGTGCCCATGTCAGCTGCACCACCCCCCCCCCCCCCCGACAGCTGGCTGCAGCCGGCCCTGGTCCTGGAGGTCCAGCAGAGCCCTGGGATGGCATCCACTCCTCTTCGGGCCTCGGTCCCCGCGCGGGTGGCACTCCAGGCCTGTGGGTGCGGCCACCTTACTGAGAACGGAGGTCACACCCAGCAGTGGCTCACCCGACAGGTTCCTGCTGGGGCACCTCCTGTCCCCAGAGTAGACTTTGCCCCCTGCTGGGAGCAGCCCTGCTACTGGCTGTGTCCGGGGTCTGGGGTCCAGGGTCCGGGTCCAGGGTCTGGGCCCAGAAGACCCAGGCCTAGGGCCTGAGGTGGGGAAGGGGAGGGGGAGGACGGGGGATGGGGCAGGTGGAAGGCACAGTCACGGTGCCGGTTTTCAGGGCGACGAGGTGAAATGCCCCCACGGTAAACGCCTCCCAGACTAAGAGGACTGACCGAGCCTTCGGGCTCCCCACTCGGGGGCACTTTGCTTGGCCTGCATAGAGGTCAAAGTCTACCAGAAACCCCTTTCTCGGCCAGGCCTGGGTGAATGCAAAGTTTACGTGGGGGTGGGTGAGCCAGGGTGGGGGACCGCCCGCCGCTGGCTGCCTGCGACTCAGAATGTCCCCAGGAATGTGTGGGCAGTCCTCCCGGGGTGGGGGCGGCCAGGGCTCCTCAGGCAGCCACACTCGCCTCTCTGGGATGGCTTCAGCAGAGACCCTGTGTGCTGGGGGTCGGAGCACAGGCAGCCAGGCTCCCGGCTGCTGCTGTCACCCCGGTCGGTGCTGTGGCTTAGGGCCCTCTGGGGCCCGGCTGCCCCTCAGGGAGGGGTTCTGGAGCCGAGGCCGGGCCGGGAACTTCCGATGCAGGGTTGGGCGGGGAGTGTGGGAGGTAGGCTGAGGCTGGGACCTGCCTGGCGTGTCCTGGGACGGATGGCAGTGGTGTCCCTGGGGTCCAGGGAGCCGTCGACTCCAGAGGCCCGGGAGGCCTGGCGCAGGCCCGGGCACCTCTGGCTGCGGGCCCCCCTCCGCCCCCCCGGGGCAGGAGAGGGCAGGTGACCGCCTCACTCCCACGGAGCTGTCAGATAAACTGCGTCTCCGTTCCTTCCCAGATCGGCAGGGAACGTGGCAAAGGATGCCGCGCGGAAACTGGGCGCGGAGTCTCAGCCACCTGGGCTGCAGATTCGGAGACTTGATTTTTCCGCCTGAAAAATGGGCTTCCACCCTCGTGTGCACAAGCCCCGTGTCTACAAGAAGCACAGAAGCGGCGGCTCCATTTGCTTGCGTTAACGTCGAAAGGAGGAGGTGCAAAGGAGTGCGTTTCCCGCAGGCCTCCAAGGTCCTCCCGACCCTGACTGTTGCCCTGGTCAGCGCGGGTCGCTGTGGCCACGGCTCCGCCCGGCGGCTGGGGCGTCGCTCCTCGCAGCCCCGCAGCCCAGGGCCGGGCCGCGGCAGCACTCGACTCCTGCGAGCGGGAGCCTTGCTCCCGAGGCTTTGTCACCATTCTGCCCACGTTGCCGATCTTGAGCGGGAGGCGCAGAAAAGAGCCAAGGGATGTGACGGTCGCTGGCCGGAAGCCGGTGGCCGGGAGGCCTGTGTGGGCCCTCACAGTGGAAAGGAAGCGGCGGGCCCGTCCACACCGCAGGGCCGTGTGCCCTCGGCCCGGCACGAGCCAGACCGAGGTGAAGAACCAGCCCCACGCCGGTCGGCGGGGCTCTGCACGTGTGAGGCGCTCGGGGTCCCCGGAGGGACGGGCATCCACGGGATGCAGGGAGACAGAGCGGGGGCTGTGGGCCCCGGGTGTCTGCAGACGCCCCCCTCCCCCCTCTGCATCCAGGCATAGAGGGACCGTGCCCAGTGGGCTCTTGAGACGGGGTCGGTCGGCCCTGCTCAGAGTCCGTGGATGCGGGAAAGTCCGGGCATGTCACTGCGCACGCAGAAAGGCCACCTAGACAGCCGGCCACGCGGGAGTCACCACGCAGCGGTGAAGAGAGAGGGTCTGGAATCACACACGCCGGGGTCAGCCCCCAGTTTCCCACGCGTCGCGTCCCACACCCCGGGGGCTCCTGGGCTTCTCGGGGCCTCGTGTCTTCGTTTGCAAACCGAGAACGCAGACGGCTGGCGTGTCCCGCGAGTGAGCGAGCTGACACGACCTCCCCCAGCACGGCGGAGGCTGGCCCTGCATGCTCTGGAACATGGGGGTGCGGTGGAGGCCGGGGTCCCGGGAGCCCCACAGACAGCTTTGTTCGCGGTGCTCACGGCGACCAGGAGGAGGTGGTGCCAAGATGCCCAGTGTCCGACCCGGCTCGGGCTGGCAGGGCCCCGGGGCCACACGCCCCTCATTGCCGCACGCTTGCACCCCCCGGCCTGGGGGTCTGTCCTCGGCGTGGGCACCCACCAGAGGAAGCACGGTGGAGGGGGCGGGGGGCTGCCTGTCCTCCGCTCCGGTCCCAGCAGCTGGGTCCCGGCAGGCCTGAGCCTCCCGCCCCCCGCACACCCCCCTCCCAGCCTCCGGGCCCTGCATCCCGAGCGGGGTCCCTGGCCGGGCAGGCGCTGAGAGGCGGTGGGCAGGGCCCGCGGGCAGGAGGGCTGCAGGGTGTGCATGTCCGCCTGCCCTCACCTTTGCCCTCTCGCCCCAGGACACCGTGGCCACTCAGCATGTCCCAGCGACACTCGGACAGCTCCCTGGAAGAGAAGCTGCTGGAATACCGCTTCCACTCCGAGCTGCGGCTCGATGCCAGGGGGAACCCGGCATCCGGGCTCCCCGTGGTGCGGGGCGCCCTGCAGCTCAGGGACAATGAAGGCTTCCAGCTCGATACCCCGGTGCCCCCCGCTGTGTCCCCTAAGGACGAGGAGCCACGGGCTGTCGTCCTTAGCACGCAGAGCCCCGCGGCCCTCAAGATGGGCACTCAGCAGCTGATCCCCAGAAGCCTGGCCGTGTCGAGCAAGGCCAAGACCCCGGCCCGCCACCAGAGCTTCGGGGCGGCCGTGCTCAGCAAGGAGGCCGCCCGGCGGGACCCCCGGCTCCTGTCAGCCCCCAGCTTCTCCCTGGACGACATGGACGTGGACGCGGGCCCCGGGGGGGCGCTGAGACGGAACCTACGGAACCGATCCTACCGGGCGGCCATGAAGGGCCTGGAGGCGCCGGGCGGGGAGAGGGGCCCCCTCCAGCTCAGCCCCAAGCTCCAGGCCCTGGCGGAGGAGCCCAGCCAGCCTCCTGCTCGGTGCCCGGCCAAGAATAAGGTAGGGGCCGTGCTGCCTGGACTTCGGGGCGGGGGCCGTGCCGCGAGGCGCCTCGGGAGCTTGTAGGCACAGACGGAGGCTCACTGTCACCCTCGCTGTCACCGCAACCGTCACCTGTCTCATGCGGCTGCCATTCAGTGAGCACCTACTTCGCGCAGGGTCCTGACGTGTATCCGGTGCGGTCTGATGGGCAGGCTGTGAGTGGAGTGTGAGTGTGCCTGCTTTATAGATGAGGCAGTCGAGGCTCAGCGAGGTCGAGGGGTTTCCGTAGGACCCCGGGCTCGGGGGTCCCCGCTCTCAGCTGCAGCGAGGAACGGAGCGTCCCGAAGGCAGCCTCTCTCTCTGAGCCCCAAGGGGAGCCGGCCTGTCTCAAGGACGAGTTTCAGTGCCGACCTCACAGCAGCACCTGGCTTCGGTGGGTCTGCCCGAGGGGCCCCCCAGGTTGGGGACTCAGGAGACGCGTGACGCCCTCTCTGCGTGCACGCCCTCCCCGCCCTGCCCGACAGCCGCTCTTACCTCGGTGCTCTCGAGAGAACGGGCCGGGCACAGGGCTGGTGGGAAGGGGCCCCCGTGCCCAGAGTTGATGTTCCGGTGGCCGCCTCTCCGGGGGCTGTCACCGGGACCGGGAGCCGTGGCCGTGGGCGGAGGAGAAGCCAAGCCCACCCGTCGGAGTACGTGCAGAGGGGACCCCCGGGGACCACCTTGGCCGCAGTCCTCAGATGCCCGTGGCCTTGGAGGTGGGGCACGGCTCCTGCCAGGCCTCCCTGAGATGCCCGGGCCCCAGAAGCTGCCTCAGGACCTAGGCACACTGCAGCCACCCAGGGCCCGTTCAGCTGCCACCTCACTCCCTCGCATCAGACGTTTCCTGACTTCCTGCGCAGCTGGAGCCGGGGTGCCGAGGGCACCCCTGTAGGTGGCCCCCAGCGAGGTCCTAGGGCCGGGAGGGGGCAGGCGTGCGCCGGGGTGCTCCGGTCTGGGCTGGGGGAATCTGGGGGGCCAGCAGAGCACGGAGGAGGGGCTCCCCAGGAACTCCGAGCAGGGGCACGGAGGTGGTCCAGAGGCAGAAAGCAGAGGGTGAACTCTGGGTAGGTGCCCAGACCCAGAGGCAGGAGGGGTAGGGGTGCTGGGAGCGGGGGCACGGGGCCCAGGGCGGGGGAGCAGGGCCCAGTGTGGGGGGAGCGCCACACATTCCAGACCCACAAGGGGGGTTTTCAGGCCCCAACTTGTTGAAGAAACCTCTCCCTTTCCCGGAACCTGCACAGCCCCGAGGTCAGGAAAAACCGTGTCCCGGCCAAGAGGGCAGGCTCTGTGCGGCCAGCTGCCGGGGCCGGGGGTGCCTGAAGACCCTGCCCGCCCCCACCTGCCTCTGCAGCCCTGCCAGCAGCTGCTGGGACCCCAGGCCTGTGCTGGGAGCTCGACACTAACCTGCCAGTCCCTGCCCTTTCTGCTTCCCCCGGTGTGGCCCCGGCTCCCACCCTGGGCCTTCTGAGCCCCCTCCAACCACACCCGTCCGGCCTCGCTTGGGCTTCTCTCTAGACCCAGTCGGAACACCGTGCTGTCCCGAGCACCGCTCTTGATTAGTTCAGGCCTGCCTGCCTCTTCCAGGCAGCCCTCCTGGATCCGCCTAGCTCTCGGTCACCCTGCCCTACCTGCCCTAGCCTCTGCTTGGTGGCCGTGCATTCCTTGTGGAGCTGACGTTTATCGAGCACCTTCCACGTGCCCAGCAGGGGCCCCCTCCTGTTGAGCATGCCTTCACATGTGGTGCTATGAGATCTCCGGGCCCCCAGGGTGGCCTTGCTGTGGACTCACACCTGCCCCTCCTCCCCACTGACGGCCCTGTTTCCGTGTCTCTTGTCTGCACAGAGGACGCTGGGGCGGAAACGTGCACACAAGGGCTCCTTCAAGGACGGTGAGTGTGGCCAAGGGACGTGACCTCAAGAGGCCAGTATGGGCCAGGCCGGGCGCAGCTGAGGCTGGTCTCGCCGGGGCTGCTGGGGGGCAGGGCAGGCTGGTGCGGCGTAGGGAGAACAGGCCGACTGGGATTTCTCTGGGGGCTGGAGGTCCTGGTGGCTTGTCTCATCGTGCAGTTCTGACGTGTCTGGAAAGTTCCCTCGGGCTCTTCTGTGCTGTTCCAGGGGCAGGGGATGGACAGAGCGCCCACACTCACGCCAGGAGACGTTTGTCCAGCGTGCATGTGTGTGCCAGGCCCGTCTGCACCGGTGCAGCCACGGGGTGCTGGCGCCAGGGTGTAGACACCCATGCTGTGTATACTGCCCACGGGACACAGGGAGCCCAGTGTTGGGGGCTCGGGAGGGCCCGGAGCAGTGCATTTGGCCTGCTGAGGGGTGATGCCAACGGGACCCCACGGGGAAGGGGAGGGGAAGGGAGGGGGAGGGGCGGGGGAGGGGCCCGCCTGCCAGGATGCAGCACCCAGTGGCTGTGAGGGGGCAGGGTTCTTAGGGTGCAGGGACTCAGCCAGGAGGAGGCCCCCCTGTGTGGACAGCCACAGGCCTGGGGGTGGGGAGGCATCAGGATCCAGGCCTCCTCCTGCCCCAGGGAGAGGAGCGGTGGTGCCCAGTCTCAGAGCCAGGACAGGAAGAGAAGGGTTAGGGTTGGTGGCCCTGAGCCAGGCGCCAGCTGGCCCCCGGGGGGCAGGGGGTTTGGTGATGGCTGCAGAGTGGGAGAGCGGGAGACCGCACCTCGGGTCAGAGGACTCGGGGACAGGCGTCCACTGCTCTCGGCCCAGCCTGGGAGCAGCCCCCACCGAGGGTGGCCCCCACGGCTCTGATTGGTCAGCTCGGCCCTGGTCTGAAGGTGCCACATTCTACATGGGGACACCAGCCCTGTCCAGGGCTCGGCCGGGCACAGCCATGGGAGCCAGCCAGCCTGAGGGGAGCCTGCTGTGGGGGGCCCTGAGCCGCCTGATGCCCTCAGGGTCTCCCGGGGAGGACTCAGCCCGCAGATTCCAGGGGGGAACCCGCTCAGAGCCCCCAGGCCTGCCGGTGACACACCCCCTGTCCCCAGACCCCAGGTTCTACCAGGAGATCCGGGAGCGGGGCCTCAACACCAGCCACGAGTCTGACGACGACCTGCTCGACGAGCCGTCCAGCCCCGACGGAACCGGGAAGGCAGACGCCCCCATCGTGGTCAAGAGCTACCGGCCGGCGCAGATCACCTGGAGCCAGCTCCCGGAGGTGAGGCCAGGACGGTGGGGTGACGCTCTGCGTCCGAACCCACGGGCGATTGGCCCCTCAAAGCCGGTCGGGGTCCTCCTCCCAGTGAGGGGAGGAGGCTTCCAGAAGTACCCTCCTATGCCCAGCTTGCAGGGGGCCCCCCTTCCTGGCACCCTCAGAGCCGCCCTGCTCCAAGGGCACTTTGGGTTTGGTCCCGAGGGAAGGAGAGCAGCTAGGAGCCCGTGCCATCAGCGCATGTGTGACGAGCCCCCCACAGGTGAGCCCCTGGCCCTCGCCCGACCCAGAGTGGCCTGCGGAGCTGTGGGCAGAAGGACCCCCCTCCGAGGCCCTGGAAAGCGGCAGGAGGGTCCAAGGGGGAGACGGCAGGGGAAGGGCGAGGGCCCTGCCCTAGGGCTGTGGGGGTCTCCGGGGAGAGCTTGGCTGGGACAGAGGCCCTGGTGCTCTGAGCAGGTGTGTGTGGGGAGGTGCCTGCCACTACCCCAGGAGGGCAAGCGCTGGTGACCCGTCCCCCAAGGGCCCAGGGACAGAGCTGCACGCAGCCTGGGTGTGTGGGTGGTCTCCTGGCATAGATGGTCCAGGACCCCGCACCCTCAAAATGCTGGCAGATTCTGTTCCTGGCCGAGCTCGGGGGATCTCAGCCAAGCCTCTGGGCTGGACGAGGAGGCAGGGGGTTGCCCGGCCCCCCAACTCCCGGCCCAGGTGCTGGTGACGGCCTCTGGCCAGCCCAGAGGGGAGGGGGGCAAGGATCAGGTGGCCCTGGGTCCTGCAGGGGGGTGCCCCTGGGCCATGGGGCGGCCTGGCCGGCTCTGCAGGGCCACCGCGGACACGCTGTGGCCGGATGGGCAGCACGCGAGCCAGGGCAGCCAAGGGCCGCTGGGCCTGCAGGGGTGGAGAGCTGGAACGCCTCCCCTACCTCCCGGGCAGGCCACACGCCCCCCTGGGCCAGGTGTGTCTGAGTCATGGCCGTGGCTCGCCACTCAGCTCTCCTGGGTGGCTTTGGGCCTCTCGGCCCCCGGGACAGCTCTAGGGGCCGGAGCCCACACTCCCCACCCTCGGGTGTCTGTCGGCCATCCCCTCCAGATGCCTGTCTCGTTCCTCAGCCGCCCCGGGGCTCTCTGGAAGGGAGGATGGGCTTCCGGGATGAGCACCCCATGACCCCCAGGCCTGTGCCCCCCTCAGGTGGTGGAGTCCGGCATCCTGGACAGGCTGCCTGCTGAGGAGCGCAAGAGGCAGGAGGTAAGGGGGCTGGGGGGGGGGGGGGGTCCAGTCCTGTGCCCAAGACTTGGCTTGGGTCACACAACGCACAGGGGACAGTGGTCATGGGGACACCTCCTGGGCCGGGCACTGGGGCGATGGCTGATGCCCTTGGCGGGGTGGCGGGGCCTACTGTCGCCCCTTCTCGGATGCGGGTGCGAGTCCTCGCCAGCATCACGGCTCGTAGCCGCTGAGCCAGAGCACGTACCCAGGTGTCGGGCTCTTGTCCCCACGGCCACGCTCCCAGCCTTGCCCCGGGTCCGGCCCGTCCTGCACCCTGACCGCACCCCCGAGGCGCAGGGTGGCCCCAGCAGCTGCTGTCCTCCCCACCAGGCCATCTTTGAGATCCTCACGTCGGAGTTCTCGTACCAGCACAGCCTGGGCATCCTGGTGGCCGAGTTCCTGCAGTCTGGGGAGCTGCAGGCAACGATGACCCAGATGGAGCGTCATCACCTCTTCTCCAACATCCTGGACGTCCTGAGCGCCAGCCAGAGGTGAGGCCCGCGCCCACAGAGGGCGGGAGGGCTGGGGCTCCAGGACACTCCCGGTCCGGGACTGCGGGGTGGACGGATCGGACCTGCTGTCCGCCGGGAGGGAACGCGAGAACCTTCTCGGGCCCTGAGGCCGCCGACAGCTGGGCCAGCGACAGGCTGGGCACCAGGCCCACGGGCGCCCCGGCAGCCTCAGCGCCCTGTCCCTTGGATGTTTGAGAGGGTGGAGTTCCTCCCATGGGGCACATCCCCACCGGGACATCAGGTGAAGGTGGCCGAATGACGAGGCGGGCGGTGCCCACGGGGTGGGGCGAGGTGGGGGGGCCCTTCATTTGCAGCCTCGGGTCATGTTTCCACCCGGTGGTGTCTGGGCCTGGCCCGGGGCTCTGGTTGCAAGGCCCAGGGTGGAGGAGGGGCCAGGCCTGCACGGGCCTGTGCGTAGCTGTGTGCGTGCATCCGTGCGCCCGAGTGGCTGTGCTTGCACAGGTGTGTGTGCGTCCATGTGCCCGAGTGCGTGTGTGTATGTGTTTGTGCAGGTGTGTGCGTGTGTGTGTGCACATATGTGCCTGCGTGAGTGTGTGTGTGGTTGGTAGTGGGTGCACGTGTGTGTTTACTCCCACGGAGGGCACAGCCCACGTATGCACCCGTGTGCACTCAGCTGCACACAACGCTGGGTCCCAGGAGACCCCGGGACAGCGTCCCTCATGCCCCAGCATGCTCTCTAAACTGCATAGGTGGGCCCCACGAGCCCCCCTCTGCGGACTAGGGTGGGGCAGGTGACAGAAGGTGGCTCAGCCCCGGTTCACTCACATCAGCATCAGACCAGCCCCCCGAGCCCCCCAGCCCCCAGTCCCTGCTACCTGTTGCCCCATGAAGTTTCAGGGCCGTGCAGGGTGGGCGGGGGGTGGCTATCTTGTCCCTGGAGACAGTCTTCCTGCGGAGCCGCGGTGACCAGCCCGGGGAAGCTTGCAGCCCCTGACTCCGTGGGGGCCCGGGAGGGTGGCTGCCCCTCCGCCCAGCTCTGCCCCTCAGCTCCGTGTCCGTGAGGCGCAGCAGAGGGCCTGGGGCCGCCGTAGGCCGGCTGTCCTCTGTGCCAAGCGGCCACGTGGTTGCCTCTGAGCTCCCCAGGGCCTCTGGCTGGCCGTCGCTGTCCTGGGATGGGACGTCCGGCCTCCTGAGGCGGCAGCGGCCTCCTGTCCGTGGCCGAGGCCGAGTCACGGCTGATCTCGGAAGGGAGCCCCAGGGGGAAGCGGGGCCTGGGGGGGTCCCTACCGGGGAGTCCGCCCAGAGCCCCCACTCCCACCCTGAGCCGGCAGAGGGAGCCGGGGCTCCGGGCCGGCCTGACCCAAGTCCAGGGCATGAAACCAGAGCAGCAGGCTCCCCGTCCGGCCTGCGGGCTCCCCCGGGGTCTCCGCCAGAACCTCACAGGAAGTGGCCTCGGAGTTGCCCTATTTTTCAGGCTGAAGTTGCTGACCCGTCCCGGGGTTTCCCCAGGAAGGTCACGGCTCGCCGCCGGCCTGGGCAGCCGGTCCCCGACGGCCAGGCCCCAGCCCGCTCTCACCCCTCAGGTTTTTCGAGGCCCTAGAGCAGCGGCACAAGGCGCAGGTGTGCGTGGAGGACATCAGCGACATCCTAGAGGAACATGCGGAGCAGCATTTCCACCCCTACGTCGCCTACTGCTCCAATGAGGTCTACCAGCAGCGCGCCCTGCAGAGGCTGATGTGAGCGGGGACTCGGTCTCGGGGGGCCTCGGTCTCGGGGCGCATTCCTGCAGGCTCCCCCTCCCCTCCCGCCGCCCTGACTTCGGAAGCCCCGTTCTCTGTCGCAGGAGCAGCAACACCGCCTTCCACGAGGCCCTGAGGGAGATCGAGAAGCGTCCCGCGTGCGGGGGTCTCCCCATGATCTCCTTCCTCATCCTCCCCATGCAGAGGGTGACCCGGCTGCCCCTCCTGACAGACGTGAGTACACAGCGCGGACCCCGCCCGGGGAGGGAGGTCGGGCAGACGCCGGGACGGAGCTGCCCGGGTCCCCCCTCCCGTGGAGTGGAGCACGGCACGCCCCCTCCCCCACCTCGTCACTCAGTTGTAAGGCGGCTTTGACATTTGATAGCCTCCCCCCACCCTGCCCTCCCCCCGGGCTCTGTGCCAGGAGCGGCGCCAGCACTCCACAGGTGTTCGTCCCCGTACTAGAAGGTTCACGAGGTTCCTTCAGGTGGATGAGTGAGAACCAGGGTTGCCCAGGCCTCTGCCGAGGGCGGGTCCTGGGCCGCTGCCTCCTTTCCAGGATCCTCAGCCAGTTGTCCCGGCTGTGGGCCCCCAGGGCAGCCCGGGTGCCCATCACCTTCCCTTCCGTGCGTGGAGCTCTGACCAGCTCACTGGAGTGGCTCATGCCTCGGAGATGCCTGCTCAGTGCTGCAGGGCAGGTGGGGGCAAGAGGCATACGTGCAGGTGCACGTGTGCACATGCTTGTACACATGTAGGCACACACCTGTGCTCAGGCTCGCACACATGCAAGCCGATGCGTGTGCATGTGTCCACACACTCACACACACGCAGGTGCACACGTGTGCTCACGCTCGAAGACATTCAGGCGCACACGTGTGCTCGCACACATGTAGGCGCACACGTGTGCTCACACTTGCACACGTGTGTTCACGCTCGACATGCAGGCACACGTGTGCACACCCTCACACACATGTAGGCGCACATGTGTGCACACATACGCAGGCAGGCAGGTGTACATGTGTGCACATATTCGCACACATGCAGGCGCACACGTGTCCACACGCTCACACACGCAGGTGCACACATGTGCTCACGCTCGTATACATGTAGGCACACGCGTGTGTGCACGCTCGCACACATGCAGGCAGGTGTATCTGCGTGCACATACTCGTACACGTGCAGCCATGCACACAGCACACAGAGGCAGCGTGTGGCTCCCGCTTAGAGTGCCATCTTTCCAAGCAGACGGGACATCAGACCTCCCAGGTCCCTCTGGGAAGCGTAGAAAGAGAGGCCACGGGCACCTCCCAGACCGGTCCAAGACAGCCAAGGACTGGAAGGGCTGGGGTCCCGGGAGCGTGCTCTCTCCAGGTCCCACGAACCAGCCTGACCCAGCAGAGCCATTTGGGGGCCGTGCACCCCAGGGCGGCCTGGCAGGAGCCCTCTGGACACTGGCCCTCGACCTCCCTGCGGCCCCGCCCAGTGTGACATTAGTGGAGGCGCCCCTGCCCGCGCAGGCCCCTGAGCCTGGAGGGCAAAAGGGTCCTCGGCGCCTCACGTGTGGTGTCCTCTCTGCAGACCCTCTGCCTCAAGAGTCAGGGCCACCCTGAGAGGTACAAGGCCGCCAGCCGTGCGCTCAAGGCCATCAGCAAGGTGAGGAGGGTCCAGGGGAGAGGAGGGGGCGCCCAGACCAAGCCCGGGCCTGAATGCTGCCCCCCTACCCCCGCCCAGCAGTGGAGACCCTGAGGGCAAGGCAGGGAGGGAGGGAAGGTTTCCGCGCCGTCCGTCTCCAGCTTTTCACGGAGGGAGCGGAGCTGAAACACGATGGGCGAGCCCGTGGGGGCGGGGGCAGGGCCGGGGCGGCCGGGCCGCTGCCCACGGCACAGCCTTTTGTCCCGACGCCCGCCTCGCAGCTGGTGAGACAGTGCAACGAGGGAGCCCACAAGATGGAGCGCACAGAACAGATGTACACCCTGCACACGCAGCTGGACTTCGGCAAGGTCAAGGTGGGCACCCCCACCGCTCCTCGCCCGGCTCGTCGCGGGTCAGGGGGCCACCGCCTCTCGGGGCTCCGGCTGGAGGGAGGCCCCTGCGGGCGCCCGCACCGAGAGGGCCGGGGCCTCTGCCTCGGCCTCCCCGGCACCCTTGTGACTCCCACCCCCTTGGCCACAGGCTCAGCTTTTCGGCGCTCCTGCCCGAGGCTCAGTGGGTACGCAGGTCTCTCTGGCCTGTGCCCCCACCCCCAGGGCTGCAGGCGGCATGCTGGGGTCAGGGGGCAGGACGATGTCCAGGCCGGCGCGTGTCTTGGGTTTCCCCGTGAGGCCAGGAATAGTCCGTCAGTTCGGGGGGGGGGGGGGGCCTAGGCATCCTAAAGGCCGTCCCACGCGGGCAGGGCTCAGACTTCTGTCCCCACGGATCCCCCCCACCATCCCATGGTCCAGGGGTGGTCCCACCGGCTGCCCAGGACCCCGCTGTGCCCCAGGCCACCGGGATCCCGCTTCCGCAGGAAGCACCTCCTGGGGAGGGTGGCGCCCAGCAGCAAGAGAGGAGCAGACAGACAGACGCTTCCTCCTGGGAACTGCTCTACAGGAGTCAGGGCCTGGAGGCAGCTCTGTGGGCCAGGCCTCAACTTGTCATCAGCCAGCAGAGGCTGCCCAGCGGGCTGGAGCAGGTGCTGTGGGCAGGGCACGAGGGCCACGGAGTGACAGAGGGAGGCCACGGAGGTCCGGACGAGGGTGTGAGGGCCTCTCTGGCTCAGGGGGTGCTCAGTAGGTGCCTGGAGAGTCCCTGGGCCCGGCCGGAGGCAGGGAGGGCACCCACCTGCCTGGGTGGCCGAGCAGGATCTGGGCCGGGGACCTGGCACAGCGCAGCTGCCCCATCTGTGCCTGTCGGCCAACTGAATAGCCCTTTGTGTGAGGCGAGGACACATCTCACTGTCCTCCTCCTCGGTCCAGCCCGGGGGGAGGGGGCAGTCACCTAGTCCTTGGAGGCAGGGATCGGTGCCCACTCGGCCTCGGTACATCCTCGCCCACACCCTGCCCCCCGACCGCCCCGACTCAGGCACCTCCCCGTCCCTTCCCTCCAGTCCCTCCCGCTGATCTCTGCCTCCCGCTGGCTGCTGAAGCGTGGGGAGCTCTCTGTGGTGGAGGAAACCGGGCTTTTCCGAAAACTGGCCAGCCGGCCCACGTGCTACCTGTTTCTGTTCAACGACGTCCTGGTGGTCACCAAGAAGAAGAGGTAGGCCGCCGTGGGTGCCGGGCCACGTGGCCCCAAGACGGGGACCGGGAGGGGCCTGGGGGAGTCACCCGGGCCTCCTCAGACCTCAGAGCTGGGGCACACGGTGGGGGCCCCCTCCCAGCCTGGCCCGGCCCCAGCAGCGGCCTGGGTCCCCCTGCATGTGACGCGGGGCGGCCGGGTCTCTCCCTGTGCCTGCAGACCCGGGTCTGCCCGCCCAGGCCACGGGGACGAGAAAGCGCACCGCCTGTGCTCCCCAGGGGGCGGGGGGGGGCAGCCCTCAGGAGCGTCCTTCTGGCCCCCATCGGGCGGGGACCCGGGCCGCCCACACACCCTCGGAGGCATCTGGCCGCCCCCTTGTCTCCCTGCAGCGAGGACAGCTTCGTGGTGCAGGACTACGCCCAAGTGGACCACATCCGGGTCCAGAAGACGGAGGCCTCCGACCCCTCCCTGCTGGGGGGCGGCGGCAGCCGCGGCTCCTCCGTGCCGCACCCCTTCCAGGTGACCCTGCTGCACAACAGCGAGGGCCGCCAGGAGAAGTTCCTGCTGTCGTCCGACTCCGCGTGAGTCGGGGGGAGGTCCCGGGGCGGGGCGGGGCGGGGACCTGACCACGGAGGGAAAGGGAATGCCAGGAGGGGGACAGCCTGACCAGCACGGCGTGGCCCGGGGAGGAGGGCCTGGCAGAGGCACCACAGTACAAAGGTCCTGGGGCAGGAGGCCTCTGCCAAGAAGCAGCCGTGAGGCCAGTGGCGCTCGAGCACGGGCGCCCGTGGTGGGGGTGATGAGGTCAGAACAGGCTGGGGGGCGTTGGGCAGCACAGGGAGGGGGCTCAGCGGGCAGGGGAGGGAGGGACGGTGGGCTTGGGACCCAGCGCCCGGGTCGTAGGGGTGCAGCTGCTGCCTGACTGTGACCCTGGGCAGATGAGACTCGGGGTCGGCCTGACTCGGTAAAGCCTGCCTGCTGCCCCTCTTGCCTGTGACTTTCCACACCCGGCCCCCGAGGGAACTGGTTTGTGGGGGGGTCATGAAAGGATGCCAGTGTCCCGTGAACTTCATCATCACTGCGGGTCACAGCTCCAGGGCCGTGGGGGACGCCTGAGGAACCCCGGGGAGGCCCTTTGACCCCCTGTCCCCGCACAGCACCACACTGGGGGTGGGCCGTGTGAAACCAGAGGTCCCCAGGCTGGCGGGATTGGCCTCAGGGCCTCACCCACGCTCTGTCCCGCCCCAGGAGTGACCGGGCCCGCTGGATCGTGGCGCTCACACACAAGGAGAGGCAGAGTCCCGCCAACAAAGGAGGTGAGCGCACCGAGAACAGGGCTCGCGACCCCTTCCCCGGCCCTGGGCAAGGGGGCGGCACGGAGCTGAGAGGTATCGTCCAGCCCTCCGTCCGTGCCACTGTCTGCCCCCAGGGTGACCTGCCAGGGTACGTGTGTATCCGTCTGTGCGCACAGACCCAGCTCTGTCCCAGGGCCGCCTCGTCCGTGCGGGGGAGAGGACCGTGCCCCGTACCTGGAGCACGCGGAGCCGGGCCGGCCCATAGATCGTCAGCCTGGCTCCAGCCCCGCCCCTTAGGAGCCACCTGCCCCCTCTGCCGGGCAGGGGCAGCCTGTCCCGTGGCCTCCGGGGGAGGCTGCCACGTGTCCCCAGCCCGTGTGCCCAGCCCAGGCCCCGCTGAGACCAGGCCACGGGGGATGTGCTGGGAGGTGGAGCCCACGTCCTCCCAGGGACAGCTCTGCCCCTGACCCCCACCCCACCTGCCCCCGCAGACCTGCCCCAGGTGGAGGTCACCAAGGCCTATCTGGCCAAGCAGGCGGACGAGATCACCCTGCAGCAGGCGGATGTGGTCCTGGTTCTGGAGCAGGAAGACGGTGAGTGGAACGGCGCTGGTGGGGAGGCCCCGGGCGACAGGCCGCCAGCCCCGTCAGGGCCCAGGGCACACCCGTGTGGGCGGTGCACCCTGACCCTGGCTCCCTGGACACGGTTTCTGCCACTGCTCACGGTGCTCCAAGGCCCCCTCGGCACCCTCCCTCAGGGGTGTCCTCAAATGTCCCCAAGTCACGGGATCAGAATCAGGTCCTTTGTCACTCTGTGTCATAAGTGGGCGGAGGGTGACTGTGCTACTCCAGGGGCCCCTGCACACGCCCGCACGGGGCATGCGCCGGCATCCGGGCCGAGCCGCCGATGGAGGACCAGGTGCCCGTGTGACCCGGAACCGGGCCCCCTTGGCAGGAGCCGGTGGTGATCCGCTGTAAGGGAGGGGCCTCGGCCTGGTGCCTTCTGGAACAGCGGCACAGAGGGCATCGCAGCCCCGCCCTCGTGCCCGGACCCCGCCCTCACCCGCCCCACATCTGTGTTCAGGATGGTTCTACGGCGAGAGGCTGAGAGATGGGGAGACGGGCTGGTTCCCCGAGGACTTCGCCCGATGCATCACCAGCCGCGTGGCCGTGGAGGGCAACGTGCGCAGAATGGAGCGCCTGCGCGTGGAGACAGACGTATAGCCCGCTCTGCCCGGCGATTCGAGGGGCGCAGATCCACCGGCCCCCAGGAGCCTGACAGCCCGCGGGTCTCCCGAGGCGCTGGGGGCTGCAGTGCCGGCTGCAGACACATCCGGTGGGAAGCTCACACACGCCGTCCCCCCCGGGGGCCACCCTCCCCCAAGCTGTCAGGGCCATGCCAGCTTGGCCCCACGTCTCCCACACGTCCTGCACCCACCGCACCGCCATGCAGGGCACATGACCGGACGCAGGGCGTGGCCCGGCTCTTCCCTCGCCTCTCCTGCCCCCCACGTGGGACCGAGGGCCCCACTCTCTGAGAGGAGGTCCCGCCTGAGGGAGCGGACTCTGGTGCCAGTGCTGAAATCCTGACTGAGGTTTTCACAGACATTAAAGAAAGTATTTCTTTAGCTCCTGGATTTCCATGGGAGCCTGCGCCTCGGGGAAGGCCAGGGCAGTCCCTGCAACATCCCCAGAGTGCCACCGGCCAGGACCGGCTCCCCGCGCGTAGTCACCTGGGCCGGGTCCCGGGGTCGTGTCCGGCCCCCCCCCCCTTCCTGATCACCCGTGCTCGTCTGTGGCCTTGGCCGGACTGTCCGCCTGGAGCTTGGTGAGCGAGGCCAGTGGCTCCTGACCCCTCTCCCCACACACTCCTTTGCTGGCTAGTGGGCTCCGTCTGGCTAGTGGGTCTGGGGGCTCTTCTGGGATGTCCCACCAACCCCCGCCTCCCTCAGGGCCCATCTGTCCCCCCAGGACCTGGACGTGCAGGTGGGGAAGTCTGTCCACACCCAGGGCCCCCTCGGCTCGGGCAGTGGTGTCCTTGGGGTGGGGGCTCCCATTATGACAAGAATCTGCCCAGATCCCACTGGAGCTCCGGTCTGAAAGCCAGGGGGCGGCTCCACACTCCCAGCCAGAAGGGGGTGATCGGGCAGGCCCTGAGCTGTGCCCCTCCCGGTCCTAGGCCCGGCCAGGTGGGGAGGGGAGGCCAGCCTGAGCCAGTTGGAGGGCCCGGTGGGGATGAGCTGTCCCAGCTCTGCCCACCGAATGGGGTTGGGGGAGAAATATAGTGCCAGGAGGGGTGAGCACCTCCTCCCCACCGACCTCCAGGGTGACCTCCGTGGCCACAGGCAGTCGGAAGGACCAGGCCTAGGTCAGAGCCCAAGCAGGGTCTGGGGTCCCGGGCAGGGATTTTACACGACCAAAGGGTGGTGGGACAGCGGCAGGGTCCAGTCACTGGAGTCAGCCCCCCGTAGCTCCTGCCACTAACTGCACAGGTGGGAATCTGGGACCTCGACTTGCCCACCTGTGAGCTGGGTTAACTCCCGGCTCTTTTCCCAGAACTGCTGTGCGGGCAAGCTGGCTGCAGAGGCCGGGCGTGTGCACACGCATGTGTGTGTGTCAGGCAGGGGTGGGGGCAGCTTTCTGTGTAAGCCCAGCTCCCCCGAAGGAAGCCCGCCTGCTTGTTCTCCCCACCGACCCCCGAGCTCCTGGGAAGGGCAGACCTGTCCACTGCCCGCCCTCTGCCAGGTACCTTTCCAGTTAATGGAGCAAAGAGGGTTTGGAAAGCCCTGAGACCAGGCCCTCGACTTCCTGACCTGGGGCCAGGACACCACCTCAGGCCCATTTCGGTCTGCACAGTGGTTGGCTGGAGCCCCCTCGTCCTCCCAAGCAAGGGGTAAGGTGCTTAGCCAGGAGGAAGGACACCCCAGGACCCCGGGGGAGGGGCTGGGCCCACCCGGGCAGGGTCAGACCAGCCTAGGACGGGAACCCCTCAAAGCAGGCTCCAGAAGCACAGGGCCCTGGCAGCTTGGAGGCCTGGAGGGGCTCAGGTGGGCGGGGGGGTGGGGCTGGGCCGTGAAGTGTGGAAGGCCAGGGCTCCCTCCAGGGCCAGTGCCCACTCGACACCCTCTGAGGGGCCTCCGTTTAGCCTGAGGTGCCTTCCTGAGGGCGGGGCAGGCCAGCCGGGACCCCGGCCCCTCCCAGAGATGGCTCTGATCTGCCTTCTAGCCCAGCTGAGGTCTCAAGACCCCAAACAACCCTTCCTCCATGGCAGTGCCCAGCACTGCCCCCCACCCCCGGATTCCTGGGGGTTCTGTGAACTCTGCCACACCTGCCCTGCTGGGGAGGGGTCTCCAGAAGCAATCTAGCCCAGCCCCTCCTCCCAGCCAGCCGCACCGCCCCTTTTGGGCCTGCTGCTGGGGTCAGTGGGCTTCCTAGGACATCAGCCAACCCCCGTGGGGCCCAGTGTGAACAGACACCGAGGTGTCCCCGCCCACCCACCTATTACAACCACTCCGAAACATTGCAAGGCCTTTCTGCAGGGCGCCCCCCCCCCCCAATCAAGCGCCCCTGGTGGCTGGCGGGGACACCGTGGTCGGGCCCACAGCCCTGAAGACATCCAGTGCCCCTGGGTGTCCACGGCGGGACCCTAGCAGTGCCTGGGGCTCCCCAGTCCCTGAAACTCGATGGGAGCCCCCGTAGCCCCGATTCTTGCCCCTTCAACGCGCAGGTCAGTGTTTCCGCCCTTAGCTCCGTTGGCCCTGGGCGTCCACAAATCCTGCTCACGTTGCCACCCCTGGTTACTGTCCGTATCCCCAAGATCAGACCCCCAACCCCAGCTGTCCCCTGCCGGGCCATCATGGAGCTCTCTGGGCACGGGGTCACATCAGACTGGGGGCGCTCCAGTCTGTTCTCCTAATTTGGTTCAGGGCTTCCCGCATCCTCTTGCCAGATTAATCTGCTGGCATTGACGGGTTTTCTTGGGGAGGTGAAGGGCGTCTTACTTTGCATTGTTTCCTAGTTGGTCATGGCCTCCGCTGAAGCACGATCGAGTTTTATAGGTTTTACACATTTCATATGCTATATACGACTTTTATGCCCCGCCCTGCTGATCCTTACTGGTCTGTCGGCCCTTTTCTGTTCCCTTACTGGTCTGAAGCTTTTCTGTTCCCTGGTCCTGCCCCCCGACCACCGGGCAGGGTTCTCTCCCCACAGCCTCACATTCCAGTGTCTTGCTCGCACCGAGTGTGGCCCGAGCCACAGAGCTCTGCTGGGGCCTGGGGCAGGAGACGCTCCGCTTTCCATTCCTTCTGCAGTGTTTCCTGGGCCCTAGGGGGTCCGGCACAAAGCAAGCAGAGCCCCGTCTCCCGCACTGTGTTCTCCTGGGGCAGGACAGCCAGAGACGGGGGCTTTCGGGTCAGGGCCTGGGATGCAGATGATGCAGGCCGCGGGGGGGGGGGGGGGGCGGGGTGCTAGGCGGGCAGGGCTGGCCAGCGTCGCGTCGCTTAAAGATCCGAACCCCCTCAGCTTCTCCACCAGACTTGGGAGAGATTCTCCTCGGCAAGTGACCACTGCCAGCAAAGCTCCTGCCTGCAGCCACCCGGGCCTCCAAGACCTTACCTCCTGAAGAGATGAACTGTATAGAATGTTCTTCCTGCTCCTGTCGGACAATCATCTGATTCCTCATCTCACAAACACGTCGAGGCATTTTGTGATGTTACGCTGTCCCGCCGTCTTAAGGGCCATTCATGTTGGATCAGGTTATTACTTTGCGAGCATTTTGGAGTGGTGCGTGTTTGGGATTAGGACTTGTGCGCACCCGTGACGGATCTGTCATCTCCTTTGCTTGCCCCGCCCTCACCTGGTTTCAGAACCAGGTTGACGTGGGCCTCACAGAATGAGGTGAGCTGCTTTTCGCTTTCAGAGAGTTTCCGGAACAATTCCCATTAGGACAACTTCACGGGGCCTTGCAACTCTGGCACCGGCCACCTGGACGGGCATACGGCCAGGCCTTCCCGCGGGCGGCGGCTGGCTTCCGTTACTACTTGTGTTTACTGCAGTTGTGGGTTTGTGCAAGTGTGTATTTCCACCAGCATCAATCCTGGCATTTCGTATCTTCCCTCAAAACTTACCCACTTTTTAAAAATTCTGTTACGTAGGGGCGCCTGGGTGGCTCGGTTGGTTAAGCGTCCGACTTCGGCTCAGGTCACGATCTCGCGGTCCGTGAGTTCGAGCCCCGCGTCGAGCTCTGTGCTGACGGCTCGGAGCCTGGAGCCTGTTTCGGATTCTGTGTCTCCCTCTCTCTCTGCCCCTCCCCTGTTCATGCTCTGTGTCTGTCTCTGTCTCAAAAAAATAAACGTTAAAAAAAATTTTTTTTAATTCTGTTACTTATACATAATCATTCTTAACATCATTTTTAGGTCTTCCTCTCTGTTGCGTCTGTAAGTTAGTCCTTCCTCCTGCATCTTCTCTTTGCGTTTAAAAATACTATCGAGGGGCACCTGGGTGGCTCAGCCGGTTGAGCTTCCGAATTCAGCTCAGGTCATGATCTCACAGTTTGTGGGTTTGAGCCCCTCGTCAGACTGTGTGCTGACAGCTCGGAGCCTGGAGCCTGCTTCGGATTCTGGGTCTCCCTCTCTCTCTGCCCCTCCCCTGCTCACGCGCTCTCTCTCTCTCTCTCTCTCTCAAAAATAAAACATTAAAAAAAATTTTTTTTTAGTATCATCAGCCTTGCTAGTTTTTTTCTTCCTTATTCATCTTCAATGGAATTTTAGGCTTAAGTGCCCCATCATTCTCCACTTGCTGAATGTAAAGTTTATATACACGAATATAAATTCTGTACATAAGAATATAAATATATGAACGTAAGTTTACATGTATACCACGCATGTTAGAGCTTATTAAAATTTTATCATTGCTTATGTCCTGCTTGCTTAACGTGTTTTTTTTTTTAAGGAACACGTTAAAAAATCACCCACCGTCGTTTATTTCTACCTGTTATAGTGTCACTTTTATGGACTTCAGAGCCTCTACTGTCTCGTGCATTTATCTGTACATGTATTTACAGAGTCACTTACGATGCTTTCTGCCCAGAAACGTTAAAACTCCTACCCCAGCTTTTTTTTTTTTTTTAACGTTTATTTATTTTTGAGACAGAGAGAGACAGAGCATGAACGGGGGAGGGTCGGAGAGAGGGAGACACAGAATCTGAAACAGGCTCCAGGCTCCGAGCCGTCAGCACAGAGCCCGACGCGGGGCTTGAACTCACTGACCGCGAGATCATGACCTGAGCTGAAGTCGGCCGCTTAACCGACTGAGCCACCCAGGCGCCCCCACCCCGGCTTTCTTTTGATTTATTTCGTAAGCTTATGTTTTTGTCCTTCGAGGCAGGTCTTTGACAGTTAAAGTACCACAGAATGAGGTCTGACGCAACCCACGGATCAGTGTTTTGATGTCCTTTGTAGCCACTTACAAGGCTTTGCTAATCTACCTTCTCACTCTGCTTTATTATTCCTCCTTCTCCACTTTCCACCGGAGATGACATTCCCTCCGGGCAGGAAGTGACCTAGCCTGTTACCACATGTCTGCACTCAGTTGCGCTCACCTGCCGCTGCGTGGGGCTTGCTGATGTCCCTCCCCACCCCTGCCACACACACTCTCGGGGTCTCTGCTGCCGGCTCAGGGGAATACCTGATTCCATTAGCAGGTCATGCGGGAACCGTGGGGACATCTCACTGCACCCTCCTAGGCTTTCTCTCCTTGCTGGTGAGCGTCCTCTGAGTGCATCTTGAGATCAGGCTTTCGAGGGCTCACCCAGTGGGGACTTGGGAGACCCAAGAAGAACCCTGACTTTGTTTTCCAGACGCTTGAACAGTAACATCAATCTCGAGCATCATCCGTGCTTTGAAAACAGCGCCACGGTCCTCAATTCCCGAGTTTCTGCCGTCAAGTCTGACGTCACCAGGACTTCCCTTCTTTTCTGGGCGTCTTAGAGTCTCTCTTTGCCGGTGATTTTCTTAAAATTCTTGGGATCCTGGCTCTTTTACTTTTGTGTTATGCGTGGAGCGCTTCTGGTCTGAGACGGTTCACCTTCTGGCCAGACAACTTCTGTTGGTGCTTCCGCCATTTTTCTCCCTCCTTGTTCCAGAACTTCAATTAGAAGGATGTTCACAGGTCCCCTTGTTTCTGCTAACCGTCCTCTCCGGTCCCCTGTCCCCGTCCCCCGTCCCCTCTAGGAGCCTCCCTGCGGCCTCCAGGCGCCGCCCACCCTGCACAGCTCCACCCCCAGCCTTCACGACCGGTCCTCCTGGGACCGCATCTTCCTGTACCATGTCACCAATCTGTCCCCCCTTGTCCCTCCTGGGACTTTAAGACCTTAACACAGTGGCCCGTCCCTTTGATCTCCTCTGCCACCGGTTGTTCACTAGGTGTCTGCCTAAGGGGACAGGGTGGGTCACTTCGCTCCATGAGACCCTTTGCCCTGAGGGGATCAGCTAGCTAGGCTGGTGTTGAAGGGAAGGGCAGAGGGGCTACAGCCCCGACCCTAAGTGTCCGGCCTGACCATCTGGGTGCAGCGCACTCTACTGGATGTTCTTCACCCCTCCACCGTTTCCGCTCTGAAGACAGGAGGGGTGGGGTGCCCAGCCTGCCCCCCCCCCACCACAGCACCCCTGCCCTCGGGCCAGCCTCCTCCCCGAGGGGCCCACGCACAGACCAGCCCCCTCGTGCCCCTCCAGGGCACCGGGAACCAGGACAAACTCCAACCCTCCTCGTGTGCCAGCCACACCCTGGGGGAGCGGGGGGGGGGGGGGGGGGGGCGGCCAGACGGGGCCTCCCCGGTCAGGAGGGGATCCCTGTCCAAACACACTCATTGGGCGCACCCGGGAGGCCACCACAGTGGGCCCGAAGCAGGGAGCACACAGGTCACAAGGAAGCGACTGCTTCTTCCTTAAATTACTGGGTTTCACATGTACCAGAGTCCCCCACCCAGAGGCCCCTCAGAGCCCCAAGGTCCCGCGTCAGGGTTTCGTGGCGCAGGGGACGGGCAGCCTTCGGTGCCCGGGGTGCGGCGGGCGTGTCCAGCTGCCCATAAATACTTTTACATAAATACAGTGGGCTGCGGCTCCAGGCGAACAGACGGGGCCACAGCAGTCCCAGGGCCTAGCACCAGAAGAACCAGCTCGGGGGGGCAGGGGTCCCCTGCCGCACCTGCGCCCACACCTCAGTCCCCACCCGGGGAGGCGGGCTTGCTCAGCACGCACGGCCAGTAGGGCCGGTCCACTCGTCCGGGCTCCTTGCGGCTGGGCCGGCCAGGGCCTCCCTCCCCGTGCCAGCCGATCCTTGCAGAGCGAGGGGCTGCGTGGCTGCACACGGCCCTCGGGGACGAGGCTGCGGCTGGAGTCCTGGCCTACAGGCGCCCTCCTCAGTCGTCGCCAGAGCACCCGGGAGACGGGCCTGCTTGACTGCTGCCTCTGTGCTAGTGTTTCTGTGCCCTGCTGCTGAGCCCAGGTGCTGGTCGGTCAGAGGCCGGTTGCAAGGCCGCTGTAGGGACGGAGGAAAGGAGGGTCAGCCCCGGGGCACGGCGAAACTCTCGACCCGGCCAGTTCTGGGCTCCCACTTCAGGTGTCCCCTCCTGCCCCTCCAGCTCCAGGCCGATGAAGGGGAGACAGCCCAGCCCTTCCCCCCCAGCTTCTGCACCGCCCCGTGTCTGAGGTCCCGATTCTGACCTGCCCGCCACCCTGTGGGGCCTGGGTTACAAGTAATCACATGCACAATCCTCATCCCTCCTCTGTCCTCAGGCTCCTGGTAACAGACCAGTGACACCAGCAAATGCCTCTCTGCCACCTAGGCCTGTAGGGCCCTCCCTCTGCAAATGAAAGCCCCCAGGGCCCCCAGGCCAGTATCACGGAGGGCCGGGAAGAGGGACTTTGAGGCTGGATGGAGAGGGGTTTTACTAGAAGCTAGCCGCTCCACTGCAGGAAAGTGAACAGGGCCCAGAACTGCAAGGCAGGGAGGCCTCGCCTCTCCTCCTTCCCACCGGGCTCAGGGGTGACACAGGTCCCAGACCCTTGCCACCTGTCCAGGCTGCTAGGACCGCCTGGCAGCGCCTGCGGCGCAATCCCACAGCCGACCACCAGGTGCCGCCGCGGGTGGCGCTGCGTCCCGAGCCGCAGCCCTGCAAGCCCCGCCTCCACCGCCCCGCCCCCACCCCGCCTCCCGTGAGACCCCGCCCCCGGGACGCCCAACACTCCTGGGCCCAGGGCCGCCTCAGAGAGGCTGGAAGGCACGCTTGCACAACATCCGGCCCGCGTTTGGGGATCCCAGCCGAGGACCTGTCTGGAATCCCCACCCAGCCTGGCTCCTGGCTTCACCTGTGTGCACAGCCCGTCCGCACGGGCCCCAGACGGGCCCCAGGCACGACCTTCTCAGCACACACAGCCCTTCCCCCTCAGCAGGCTGGGTCTGGGCAAGCTGACCGCGGAACCCCAGGGGCACCGCAGAGCTCTGCCTGCAGAGGCACGTCCCCCCAGGGGGCTGAGGGGCCAAGGTGCAGTTCCTGCACCCTCCCTCACTGCCTGGGGGTGCAGGCAGGCACCGACGTGCACAGGGGCACGGGCACGCACCAGCGTGCACACACACGGGTTAGCATATAGACTGCAGCACACGCGCACACACACACACACACACACACACACACACACGGGCGCACCATCACGCTCTGGTTCACACACGCAGGGCAAGGAGGGGAGGGGTGGAGGGCCAGGTCAGCGGATGCATTCAGCCCTGCCCCGGGGGTTGAGCCCACCCTTGCTGCCGTCTAGGGCCACCGTGGGCGGCTGGCGCGGCAGAACCCGGCCCCACGGTCCGCACCTCGCCCATCAGCAGCCATACGGACAACAGGGGTACCCAGCTGGGATGGTGATGTCCTCGCAGGGGCACCGTGTGTGGGGAGGAGGGATGGGGCCCGCGCCAGGGGTGGGGTGGGGTGGACGCCGGGGGTGGGGCTGAGAAGCATGTCGCCCTCCCTCCAACCCCTCGGGAGCCTGGCTCACCTTGCTGGCAGGTGGGCCCAGTGTAGCCGTCCACGCAGTGGCACTGCCCATTGACGGGGTCACAACTGGCCCCAGCTCCGCAGCTACAGCGCAAGGCACAGCCTGGCCCAAAGAAGCCCGGTCTGCAGTCTGCAGGCAGCAGGAAGCAGGAGAGACAGGCCTGAGGGTCCGTCCACCTGCCCTGCCCAGGGGACCCAGGCCCTCCGTGCAGGAGCGTGAGGGAGCGGAGGCCCCAGGCCTTGCTTTTCCCGCCCCACGTGAGCTCCCACACCAGAAAGCGCCAGGTACCGGGTACCTGCCCGGCGTCACCACCCCGCTCCCCACTCGGCCCTGGGGCTGGCAGAGGGGGCCTGGCGGTCAGGGACGCTCCTCCCCGGGTCAAGCTGAGCGCACAACCGTGAGCTCACGTGTGCAGCCCCTCCTCCGTCCGGGCAGGCTGGCAGATCAGGCAGGTCTCCACCCCGCCCAACTGGGCCCCCGTTCTGGCCAGAGAGCAGAGCGTGGGGCCTTGACGACCCTGAGCAGGAGCCTCATGCTGGGCGCCCCCTCCAGCAGCTGCCCCCCACAGAGGGGGGAGATGTGCCCAGGGCGGAGCACAGCTGAGGCTCCACCTGCACCAGCAGCACTCGCCAAAGGCAGAGACCCACACCTGTGCCCCGCCAAGCGGGACCTCAGACTTACCACGGTCACAGGTGGCTCCGGTGCGCCCTGGGGGGCAGAGGCACTGGCCGGTGACGGGGTCGCAGGGTGCCCCGGCCTCGCAGTCACAGTGCTGGCGGCAGCCCTCTCCAAATGAGCCTGCTTCACACCCTGCTGGGAGGCAGCGGGCTCGGTGTCCCCTCCGGTCCCCGCGCCAGACTGGACAGGGCCAGGGTCGCACGCAGGAGCGCAGAGCACTCACCCCTCTCGCAGAGCTGGCCGTGGAAGCCGGCGGGGCAGAGACACTGGCCGCTGACGGGGTGACAGGAGGCTCCGTGCTGACACTCACATGCCACCTGGCAGCCAGCCCCGTGGAAGCCAGGGGGACAGGCTGAAGGGGACCCGCGTTAGAGTCCCTACCTCAGTTGGCCCAGAGTGAGCAAAGGGCTTGGTTCCAAGGCTCGCATCCCCCCTTCCCCTTCCCAGGCCTGGGGAGCTCCCCCCCCATCACGGCTGGGGCTCGGGTGGGAGGTCCGCCGGCTCGCACGTGACCTCTGGCCTCGGACTCCCAAGGTGAGCGGGGCCAGGCCCCAAGCCATCCGCCCCGCGGGGAGGGACGGGGACGGCGGCCATTGCCACGGAAGCCCAGGTGGGCCCTGACGTGGCAAGGGCGGATGCCGGGCAGGGGTCCCCTCCCCAGGACTCACGGTGCTGGCAGGCCTGGCCGTAGAAGCCAGGGCCGCAGCGGCAGGCGCCCGTGGCGGGCTCACAGGTGCCGTGGTTCTCGCACGAACACTCCAGGCGGCAGGCGGCACCGTAGCGACCGGGAGGGCAGGCTGCGGAGAGAGCGGGGACGTGAGGGGCGGCCCCCCCACGCCAGCCTGATTCCAGCGGCCTCGGGAGCCTGGCCCGGACCCGCGGCGGCCCCCGAGCCCCACGCTCTCCAGGGGGCCCAGAGCCACCACCCCCCCCCCACCCCCCGCCCCATCGAGGCCCTGGCCCTCCGGCCGCCGGGGAGCTCACCCAGCTCACACCGCGGCCCCGTCCAGCCTAGGCCGCAGGAGCAACTGCCGTCGGTGGCGTGACACAGGCCCCCGTTTCTGCAGGAGCACGTGTGCTCGCAGCTTCTGCCAAACCGGTTCCGAGGGCAGCCTGGAGGCAGAAGTCAGGCGCTGCTCACAGCTCTGGCCGGGGCCGGACACGCTCTGGGGACACGTCCCCACCACGTCAGACCTTCCTTCAACAGACGCTTTCCGGGGTCTGCCGGTGCCGGTCTCCACCCCCAGGGACACGAGCACCAGGGAGTGACATGAGCCGTGTCCTGCTCATTCATCCGTTCTCTCAGTTAGCAAATGCCAGGGCTGGCTGGGCGCCAGGGACGATCAGGATGAAAGGGGCCAGCGGCCTCCAGGGCACGGGAGTGCCCGCCCAGCTGTCAGGAGGTGGTCAGGGAAGCCTTCCTGGAGGCGGCGGCCCTCCGCACAGGCACACCCTCTGGGCTGAGAAGGAGGCCGGGCTGCCATGCCCTCCGGTGGCCTCTGATTGTAATACGACTGACCGTGGCTGCCGTACTCCCCTGGAGGCGAAGACACAGCCTAGCTACAGCCGGGCCATAAGTCTTATGACTCCTTACTGCCGCTGGTTAAGAACGGGGGTTTGTCACTGACTCCTTGAGGAGGACTAAAGAAAAGCAGAAAGCTCAGATCTACCAGGGTGGGGGGGCCAGGCCAAGGGGCTGTAGCTGTGGCCGTGGGGTCCGGGTGCCATCATGGGCACAAGCCACCCCTGTTCTCCCCCATGCCTCGTGCTCCAGACGTCCCTCTACCTGGGGTCCCTGGCCTCTTGGGCCAGCAGAAAGAGCCAGCGGGATGCTATGCCAAGGGGCCATGAGCCAGGAAGCTGGCTCTGTCCTCAGACGAAATAGCTGCTTGACCCCATCCCCCGCCCGCCCACCGTCTGCTGGGAGGGTCCGGGTTGGAACTTGTTCGGCCCCCACGGGCCCCTTGGGATCGCCGGAGACCATCAGCATGAACGTACCACCCGGTTTTGGGGGCCCAGGTCTCCCCTGGGGAACCCATGGCTCCAGCCCATCGGCCCCGCTCCCGAGGGCTGACACGGACAGTGGCGGGTGGAGTCCGTGCTCACCGTGCTCACAGTGGAGGCCGGTCCTCCCCGGGGGACAGGTGCAGCTGCCATTCACGGGGTCGCAGGCCGCTCCCTGCCCACACCTGCACACATGCGCACAGCCAGGACCAAAGCGGCCCTGTGGACAGGCTGCCGGGAGGAGACAGGAGGGTGGCCGCCGCTGCCGGCTGCCCTTCTCTCAAGGGGCAGGGGGAGCCCTGTGTCTGGCCCGGACGGGGCAGAGGCAACCTCCTCCCGTGCCCCCGCCCGCCCTGGCATCTCCCCTCTACCCACGGGTCTGCTGGGGGCCAGGCCTGCTCTGTGGCGACAGTGACTCACTGATGCCCCCACTCCACCCCCACCAGCCCAGCCAGGCTCCAGGATGGGCGGGAAGTCCCACATGACTCAGAGAAAGGCACTTTTCTCAGCTGGATGCCTGGCTGGCCTCTGCACAGAGGTCCACAAGCCTCTGCTGGGCGTGGCTGGGGGGCCTGGGGGGGGAGGGGGGGAGAGAGTGGGGACAGGTGAAGGGGACAGAGTTGACCGGCAGGGACACTGGGGTCACACTGACACCCCCCACCTTAGCCCAGCCTGGGGCCAGCAGGAGAATCAGGGGCAGGGAGGGGGGAGCAGATGGTCAGGGGCCCTGCCCACCGAGGCACAGAGGGCAGCCACCCCCTCCCTCAGCCAGCCACCCAGCCCTCGCCCCAACCACTCACCCAGGCTGCAGTCGGCCCCAAGGAACCCAGCAGGGCAGAGGCAGGCCCCAGTGGCCGCATCACAGGAGCCCCCGTGGAGACACCCGCACGGCTGCTCACAGCCGGGTCCAAACCGCCCAGGGGGGCACCCTGCAAGGACAGGGGCCGTTGCCAGGGGCCAGGAGCTGGGTCGGTCCCGCGGCAGTGCGTAGCCCTCCCAAGGACGGGCCGGCCCGACGGGCGGCCCGGCGCACTTACGCTGCCGGCAGCCGGAGCCGTGGTAGCCAGCGGCACACGTGCAGGTCCCCAGGGCGGGGTGGCAGGTCTGGTTCTCGCTGGGACAACGGCACTTCTGCCCACAGCGCTCCCCAAAGGTGCCTGGCGGGCAGGCTGGGGCGCAGGCGGAGGTTGGTCCCGGCCCGGCTCAGGAGCCTCCTCCGTCCGCCCCAGAGCCGCCCCCCTGCAGAGCCCCCCCCCCACCATGGGGGTGCCGCTCCAGGGGGACGCACAGCCCCGTGCCCGCCCGGGTGGGGTCACCTACCCTGCTCGCAGCTGGGCCCTGTGAGGCCCGCTGGACAGCGACACTCCCCGGTGACGTGGTGGCAGGCGGAGCCCGGCGGGCACTGGCAGCGCTGGCCACAGTCCTTTCCGAACCGGCCACGCGGGCAGGCTGCGGAAAGCCATGTGCTGGGGTGGCAGGGAGCCCCGGGACCAGCGCGGGCCAGGCAGGGGAGGAGTGGGGGGGGCACAGCGTCAGGGCCCACCCCCACGCGAGCAGCAGGGCCCCCGGGTGCGGCGGCGCCGAGGGTCTCACCGTTCTCACACTGCGAGCCCCTCCATCCCGGGGGGCAGAGGCAGGCCCCCGTGACGTGGTGACAGGTGGCTCCCCGCCGGCAGGCACAGCGCTCCTCGCAGTGAGCTCCAAACGTGCCTTCGGCACAGGCTGCAGGCAGAGGGCTGGGTCGGGCTCCGGGGGTTCAAGCGGGGCCCCTCCAGCCCTCCCACAGGAGACCCCTGGGAGCTCAACAGCCGCCCCTGCCCCCACCTGCCAAGTGACCCCTCACCGGGCCCTCCACCCTGCAGGGAGGCTGAGGCCAGCCCCTGATGGGCCCAGAGGGACCCCCGGACTTCCCCCAACTGGCCCCCAATCTGGCCCACTCACGGCTCTGACACTCGTCCCCGGTCCAGCCGGCTGGGCAGAGGCAGCGGCCTGAGTACCGGTCACAGAGGCCACCGTTGAGGCACCTGCAGCTGTGTTGGCAACCGGCCCCGAAGCGTCCCGGCAGACATTCTGCAGGGTACAGTGCTCCGGGAGTGCCCTGTGCCCCCCGTGCCCAGGAGACCCCCACCCCGCCCAGGGCCTTGCACCCCACGTCGAGAAGGAGAGGTGCCTGGGGCTAGTCACACTACGGGTCTGGGGCCACAGCCCCCAGCAGCAAGAAGCCGCCTCTGCCCACGGAGGTCCGGGGGGGGGGGGGGCATGCCAGGACACCCGGGGCACCCAACCCAGACCCCGGGTCCCTCCTCCTCCTCTACCGCCTGACCCGTGCTCACCCTCCTCACAGGCTGGGCCACCCCAGCCCTCTGGGCACGTGCAGTGGCCTGAGACAGGGTCACAGGTGCCCCCGTGCTGGCAAAGGCAGGAATGTTGACAGTTCTCGCCGTGGAGGCCTGAGGGGCAGGCTGGAGGGGAGGGGGGGGAGCACCCCACCAATCAGCCCAGCAGGGCCAACGCCTCTCCCCTGTCGAGGGCTGGCCCTGGTGGTTCTGCGTTTTCCAGCCACCCCAAAACCCAACACCAGGCTCTGTGGGGAGGACCTCCCCCAGGGCTGCGTGTAAGATAACCTGCCCCAGGCCACCCCGGGCCCCCAACCCACCTCGGGGAGGGGGGGGGGCTCGGCACCCTCCTGCCCCCCCAGGTGCCGCGGGCCCCGTGGGGGTGTGACAGGCCCCGGTCCTCCCTGCCCGTCGCTCCCGGTGAAACCCGCGTCACCAGCATCCCATGCCCACGTGACCTTGCACGGCTCATCGAAGGGCTGACACAATCCTTGGTTCCAGACTCCCCGGGGTGGGACTGTTTGCTCCTAAAGGACCCCTCCTCGGGAGGGCTTACCCTCCAGGCAAGTGGGGCCCATCCAGCCAGGGCCACAGCGGCACTGTCCGTGGACAGGGTCACAGGAGGCCCCGTTGAAGCAGGTGCAGGCTTGGCTGCAGTTGTGTCCGTAGGAGTGGGCTGGGCAGGCTGCAGGACAGGGGACAGTCAAGTCAGGGGTCTGGGGAGCGGCCCTGGCCAGGGCTGCAGCAGATCCGGGGCAGCTGGGCACAGGCAGGGTGGCCACAGAGACCAACATGCTGGCCCTTGTGGGCAAAGGCAGCGTTTCCCAGGTGGCCACCAGGCAGCGTCGAACACCCAGGAAGAGGCCCTAGACGCGAGTCTGGCTCCGTGGACCCGGCCCCCCTCCCATAGCCCCCGGGGCCGCCTGGGCCTCTCGTACCCTGGGCACAGCGGGGGCCCCGGCGGCCGGCGGGGCAGAGGCAGGAGCCGCTCACGGAGTCGCAGGAGGCTCCAGCGACACAGTCACAGACGCCACGGCAATCCAGTCCAAAGAAGCCCGCCGGGCAGGCTGCGGAGAGCGGGCGGTGATGGGAGACAGCCAGGAAACGGGGCCCACCGCCAGCCCCGGCCCACGGCCCAGCTCACCACGTTCACAGAAGGTTCCCCTCCAGCCGGCCGGGCAGGTGCAAGCCCCGCTGACGTGGTCACAAGCTGCCCCGTGCTCACACTGGCACCGCCGCCCGCAGCCCGGCCCGAAGTAGCCCTGGGGACACCCTGAGCCGTGCAGCCCCCGCCCAGCGTCAGCAGGAGGTGGGGAGACACTGACAGACACCTGCCTGTGCCTCTGCCATCCGAGCTGGGGGACGGGACCGCGGGGCAGTCCCCAAGGGGCTCATCTACCTGCCTCCACCCCCTCCCTGCCCAGCCAGCTAAGGACTGAGCCCCCAGGAGAGGAGCCCCAGCATGACTTTGGACCCCCTGGGCCCAGCTGTAGGGGGGCACACGCAGAAGGTCGTGGCCCTTGGTCCCCCCCTCCTCCGGGTGCCCCGTGGGGTGCAACAGACCCCACCTCTCCCTGTCTGCTGCTCCAAGTGTGCCTGTATCTCAGGCCCAGGTACATGGGAGCTGCCTGGGCCCAGCAGGGCAGGGGGAGCTGGGGGGGCAGGGGGAGCTGGGGGGGGGGCAGGGGGAGTTGGGGGGGGCAGGGGGAGCTGGGGGGCAGGGGGAGCTGGGGGAGGGGACCCCTGCCTGTCCCAGGACTAGGGCCCCAGCACTTGCGTGCGTGCGTGCGTGCACACGCGTGGGAGCACGCCTGTGGGCGGGCCAGGACTCACGCTGCTCGCACCGCGGGCCCGCGTAGCCGGCCTCACACGCACACAGGCCGCTGACCGCATCGCAACTCCCGTGGCCTACACTGCAGCTGCAGGTGTGGCTGCAGTTGGGTCCCCAGTGGCCGCTGTCGCAGGCTGCAACACAACCCAGGTCAGCCCGCACAGGCCCGGCAGAACCCGCGAGCATCCCGTCTCCTCCTCGCCCTCCCCACCCCCACCCCCGGCCCCGGGCCCCGGGCCCACACACCTCTCTGGCAGCTGAGGCCGGTCCACCCGGGGGCACAGCTGCAACGTCCGGTCACCGGGTGGCAGTGCCCGTCATTGGCACAGGAGCACCTCATCTGGCAGCCGGGCCCAAACCAGCCCGCCGGGCACGCTGCAGGACGAGGAAGCGTGAGCGGTGGATGGGGCCGCCCGGGCTAGGGTCTGAGGTCGGGGGGACATGGGACTCACCGTCCTGGCAGCGGCTGCCCGTGTAGCCGGGGCGGCACAGGCAGGCTCCGGTCCCGGGCTCGCAGACGGCACCGTGCTCACACGCGGGGCAGATTTCCTGGCAGCCCAGCCCCCAGCGGCCTTCGGGACAATCTACCCCCCCCCCCCCACCACAGCCAGTCAGTCTCCCCGGGGGGCCTTGCTGGCCGGGGGGAGCACGGTACAGACCCTGTGTCCCAGCCTAGCGGTGGCACCAACTGAGCCGGCCCAGGGGAGGGAGAGGAACGGGTCATGGGAGCCCCCGGCCCCTCCTTGGGCTGCGGGCTGCGGAGGACCACCCCCAAAGAGGAGCCCCTGCCCCAGGACAGCTCAACAGGCAAAATGGGGAGTGCATCAGAGAGGCTGGGAGACCCCCATAAGCCGGCAGCCCAGAGGGCACAGCACCGCCTGCAGGGAGGGCAGGCGGCTCGGCTGGCCGGTCCGTCGCCGTGGCTGACGGGCTCCTGGTGCACGTAGGTCAGCTCGGTCCCCACCCCCAGACCCAAGCGTGATTCAGTGGGGGGTCTCAGCTGCTGAGAATGGGGCCGGGGTCTGCAGGCCTCCGGGGCGGGGGCCAGGGCTGGGGGCCAGGGCTGGGGGTCCCCAAATGCAGTTGGGGCTGGGGTCCCCAAACACGGTCCGGGCTGGGACCACCCAGCCTTGTGCAGCGCAGGGGGGAAGGGATCTCAGGACACTGCTACCACTCACCTGCCCCACAGTCGTCCCCAGTCCTCCCTGGAGGGCACTGGCATTGCCCCGTGATCCGGTCGCAGGGTGCCCCCCCACAGGAGCAGGAGCCCGAGCAGTTCACACCGAACGTCCCCTCCGGGCACTCTGCAGGAAGGAACAGGTAGGTGGGGCCTCACCAACCCCCTACACCCCAGTGGGGCTGCTGGGCACAGCCAGAGTCCCCTGGGTGACCATGGTGGTCATAGGAACAGGCAGGGCGCGGAGCACGCCGGCAGGGAGGGGCCTGCTTGGGCTGACCGTGCATGGGGTAGGTGGGGGCAGGGGGCACAGGGAGGACTCTGCGGGCCCCCAAGCACACTGGAGCTGGAGGCAGTTCTGCCCTCCTTCCTCCCCCCTCCCCGCCAGCCAGGAAGCCCAGGACAGGTGTGGCCCCGTCTCAGATCCCCAAAGAGTACGGGCTGGGGCGAGGCGGGGGTCTACACACACCACTTTACCCCCCGCTGTGGCCCTCTCCCCACAGGATGGGGGCTACCGTGGGAGCCAGACACATTAGGAGGGGGGGGGGCCTCCCAGAGTCCTGGGGCCCCCTCCTCCTCTGCCCAGCAGATGGGCAGCAAGACCCTGGGGGAAGAGCCAAGACCAGGGAGAGAGAGCCTGCTGAGGGGCGAAGACTCCGGGCTCTGTGGGTGCAGGTGCTGGGAGCCTCTGCGCCCTCCCCAAGAGAACACGCAGAGCCCAGGGCGCCCTAAGCCTCCGACCAGCCTGGGCACGGCCTCCCCCCACACCCCACAGTAACCCTGGGGCCCCCTGCAGCTCTGCCCCTTGCCGCAGGAAAGCTCTGGCAGACCCAGGAAGAAGGGTGCAGCCCCTGGAGGGGACGGGCTGTGGGGCCGAGCTCCACGCCCAAGGAGTCAAAAAGCGCCCTTGGGGGAGTGGGGAGCAAGCACCCTGCCCTGGGGCAGAGTGTCGGAGGGGTGGGTGGAGTCCCTGGAGGGGGCTCTGGGACTGAGGACACATCTGCGGACCCTTGTCCTGAGGGCCCGTCCTGGGCGGGGCGCGCACCCGCTTCCCCCCGCCCCCGGGGCAAGGGCACCTGAGCAGGACCAGAGGCGCACACGGGCAGCCGCGCAGTGGGGACCAGGGGACGGAGGCCGGTGACGGCACCAGCTGAAGCTGCCCCGTGGGGCCTCAGGGGGCCCGGCAGACACGCATTTGGGGTGGTAAATCTCTCCAGACCGACAGGAGTAGGGAGCCCATCACTCCCAAAAAAATATGCACGGCATTTCCTGTGCTGCATCCTTAGGGCGCAGGAAACTATCAAAGAGAAACGGGAAAGAAACAAGGAAACCCAGCAGAGAAGGGCTCCAGGTGACGGTGTCCGGAGAGACCTCCTGCCCTCCCTGGGGCAGCTGCCCAAGTGTGTGCTGTGCTCACAAGCACTCCCGTGAGTGTCCGGTGGGGTGGGGGGAGGCAGAGAGGAGAGTCAGGGGTCCCCAAGGCAAGTCTGTGACTCGCTGAGCTCTGCCGGGGCTTGTAGGACAGGAGCGCAGGTGTGTGCAGCTACTAAAGACCTCCAGACACCGCAGAGCCCCTTGGGGTGCACAGGGGGCTGGGGGTCCAGGCTGGGTTCCCAGCCCCCCACACACTCCTCCTGGACCCCTGGGACCCGAGAGCTCTGCGAGATCATCACCTTGGCCTCTAGGACCACCCCTCTAGAGCGACCTGGCCTGGTGCACAGGGAGACACTGACTCGTCTCAGGCTGGGTAGTGGCCTCCAATCCCCTCCTTGTTCCTGGGACGGGACAGGCCAAGACTAGGGGGAGCTCGAGCCAGCCAGTCCCCCCCCCCCTCAAAGAATGCTCACACCAGTGGACTGCTCAGGCCGGGCAGTTCCCATCCACTTGGGCCAACAGGTGCAAACAGTGCTCACACCGTGTGCTCTGGAAGGTCCCCACTTGTCCACACCCCAAGAGTAGGGCTGGGCAGCCCCAGGACCCACGCGGGGGGCTTTCTTCCTCCTCATCTGCCTGCGGCTTGTGAGCACCAGAGGGGCCTCCAGCCTCGCCCACCGCTCTGCCCTTGTCCTTCACCGCGTGGCCAGGGCAGCCGTGCGGGGGGCCTTCTGTCACTCACCACGCTGCACTCCCAGCCCAACATTGTGCTTCAAGTCGCCCCTGCAGGAGCAGCTGCCAGGGTCCCGCACTCAGACCCACCGTGAGGGAGCTGCCCCGGGTCCCCCAGACTCAGACCCACCAGGACAGAGCTGTCCCGGGTCCCACACTCAGACCCACTGGGACGGAGCTGCCCCAGGCCCCCCAGACTCAGACCCACCAGGACAGAGCTGCCCCGGGTCCCACAGGCTCAGACCCACCGCGAGAGAGCTGCCCCGGGTCCCCCAGGCTTAGACCCACCGGGATGGAGCCCCCAGCACACTGAGCACGTTCTAGCTGACCAGTGGAGGGGCAGACCCCTTCCCTGGGCCAGGCCCCAAGCACAGACTTACTCCTGCCCCGGCAGCCCTGACAGGTGCACCGGGACCAGCAGACCAGTGCCGAGTCACCCCTGCATGACCAGGGCGGGGCCACGGCAGGTGCAAGTGCCACGGGGCCAGGCTGGCGGCTTCACTCCACCTCCTGCTCCCGTCACTTCTGGGGCCCGGTTCCCCGGCGCAGGCAGGTTGACCCCCACCCCACCCCACCCCAGTGGCGCCCCTCGGGCTGGCCACTGACCTTGGTCACAGTCCTTCCCCCAGTAGCCGGCGGGACACTGCTTCCCACACTGGCCGCTGACGGGGTCACAGGCCACGCCCTGAGGGCAGGCACATGCCTGCAGGCACCCCGGCCCGAAGAAGCCTGGCTCGCACTCTGCAGGGGGGCAAGGACAGAGGGGCCTGCAGGGTCGGCCAGGCTGGGGCCCTTCCCCCCACCCCTCCGCACCCCCTGCACTCACCGTCCTGACACCGCTCGCCCCTGAAGCCCGCTTTGCAGGAACAGCTGCCGTCTCTCCGGTCACACGCAAGCGTGTTCCGCTGCTCGCACTGACACTCCTCCGAGCAGCCCGGCCCGAAGGCCCACGGAGGACAGGCTGCAGCCACAGAGCCCACGTGAGAGCCTGGCCACCTGCACGGGCCAGCCCCTCCTGGGTCCCAGCTCTCCAGCTCCCGCTCACTGACACGTGTCCCCGGGAGCCGCGCAGGGCGGTCCTGCCCTCCCAGCCGCTGGTGTCCCAGGGGGCTGCGACCCGCGTGCCCGTTGTATAGATGAGAGACGGTCTCGGCAGAGTGTGGGCGCGTGCCCGGGGTCCCACCACTTCCCAGCCGGGAGACCCTCGGACTCCCGGTTCCTCCCCTTTAAATGATCCTTCTACAGGGGAACGTGGAGAGCTCCCCGGTGAGGTCGGCTCATCGTCACCCACCTTTGCTCCATGGCCCACCAGGGAGGGGTGGCCCCGCTGGGGACTCAGGACTCCCCCTGGCTGCCAGGGAACCCCAAAAGCCAAGGTGAGCCCGTGCCCCGTTCAGAGGGAAGCCAGCCCACCCACTAGCCCGGGTGGGGCCGGGAGGTAACGGGAGACACCCTGAAGGCCAGCGCAGTTCAGAGGACGAGGCTCTGAGCCCACAGCCCCGGGGGCGGACCCCACATCCCAGCGGGGGGGGGGGGCCTCGCCAGCCCTGCATCGTCATCTGCAGGTGGTGACGCCACACCCAAGCCTCAGCACGGGCAGCAAGGCACAGAAGGAGCCCTCGGCCATCCCCTTGGGCGCAGGCAGCCAGGGCGGGGGACTCACCCAGGTGGCAGAAACGGCCGTAGAGCCCCGGGTCGCAGAGGCAGGCCCCATAGAGGCGGTGGCACCGGCCACGATTGGCACAGTGGCACTTCTTGTGGCACTGCTTGCCGTAGAAGCCCTTGGGGCAGCCTGGGGGAGGCAGGGCCTGCTGAGTGACCCCCTAGACATGTCCTCAGGCCGTGGAGATGCTCCCGGGGGCCCCAGTGCCTAGCACAGGAGCTAGGAGTGGCCCGGGCCACTGGGGCAGAGGGCTCTGGTGCCACCAGCAGTCAGAGGACTCTGCACCCCAGACAGGGAGGGGCCCGGGGGGCAGGCAAGGGCACCATGAGGACAGGGCAGACACAAGATGAGCCATACATATGGCCATCTGCCCTGGCTGGCCCGTCTCCCCAGCATCTGTGGCCTGGAGGATGGCCCGGGGTGCAAAGCCAAGGACATTCTTCAGCATATGCGTGGGATGCACAGAGACTCCCCCGATCTCCTATGCCCCATCCACATCTACAGCATCCTGACTTCCGTCCCTCGGTGGTCACCTAGCCTAACCTCTGGCCCTCAGGGAAGGAGGGACACACAGCCCCAACCGGCTGTCTAAATCCCCAGGATCTGCAGGTGAGAACCCCCCGTGGTTATCCAAGTGGCCTAATCCCCTGAGTGTCCTTAAAAGGAAAAAGAGAGGAAAGCTGGAGATGGGAAGACGGAGGCAGAGGCTGGAGGGATGTAGCCCCGGGCCCTGGAGCGGCCGGAGTCCAGGAAACTCATGCGGGGGCCGCAGAGCCCTCCCGCCCGAGGACTGGCCTGCTAGCCTCCCCCAGGACTGGTGCACTCTCCCCACAGGACCCCAGCAGAGGCCCAGGTCTCTGGGGAACCACGCCACAAGCAAAAGCAAACAATGCGAGCCGTTCACGTGCCAGGAGCCCCGTGGGTCTGTTCAGGGCCCACACACGCCCTGAAGCCTCGAATGGGGGGGGGGGGGGGCCAAACCCCCAGGCATGGCTTCCAGTGACTAAAACTACCCCCCTTACGAAGGCAGGAAGTTCACGCACTAGCTACGTTCTGCGCGGCAAAAGAGGCAGAATTTTAAAGGCCTGCAGACTTAAAGGCAAAGCGTTTTTGGAAGCTTATTTACATACACTCTCGAATTCCTTCAAAAATGTTGATGCTTCACAGTTAGGAAGGACGTTAGCGTCGTCCCATGAATGATGGGCCCAGGCACGTTCCCCCGTGCAAATCCCACTAAGCCACCAGGAGCCTGCTTGAATGCTTCCAGGAACGGACAGCTCACTATCTTCCAGGGGAACCCATTCTGAAAGGGCTGTTTTCCTGCCAAGTCTTCATCATCAGCTCTAGTTGGGCCCCAGGCAAAGCTCGCATCCACACGACCGCCTTCCCCACTCCCCACTCCCCACTCCCGCGGGAGGCAGGTGGCTAAGAGAAAGCCAGGAGGCCAGCTGGGAGGCCGTGTCCCATCCCCTCCACCCCAGGAGGGCTGCACCCACCGTCCTCACAGTGGGCTCCAGAGACGCCAGGGGGGCAGCGGCAGGCCCCCGTCGCGGGGTGGCAGGTCCCCCCGTTCTGACAGCTGCAGGACGAGCTACAGTTCCTCCCAAATGTGTCTGGGGGACAAGCTGCGGGCGGTGACAGCAACGCACCAGGGTCACCGGCCGCAGAAGCACTGTGGCCCCAGGAGGCCCTCTGGAGACACCGAGGCGCCTCCCGGGGTGTGAGCCCCCCAGTTCGGAAGCACCTGTGCCCCGGGCCCGGCCACGACACACGGCAGACATCACTAATCGATCACCACACTCCCTCCCTCTAAACCCCAGTACGTGCACCTCCTGTGCGGTGCTCTCAGCAGGTAAACCCTCGGGGACAGTCACCACGGCCCTGAGACCGCCCACCCACGTGCGCCGGAGAGGGGCTGGTCACCGGGTGGGGGCTGGGACAGCAGGTCTCAGGAGCACTTCCAGTACCAACTCGCTGTGCAGCCTGGGTCGTGGCTGGTCCCGCCCACCGGCGGCACCCCGTCAGACCCCCTGCCGCCTGGGCTGCCGCCCCGCTTGCCCCTGCCAGTCCCCGAGGCCCCCCAGCACCTAGAGCAGCACCTGGCTGGACGCTGCACCCGGAGGGAACGCGGCAACAGGTAGGCCCCGGGAACCAACCCCCCTCCCCCGGCCCAGGGTGGCTGCCCGCAGGACCCCGCCCCCGAGGCCTCACTCTCATTGCAGATGAGCCCGGTCCAGCCCTCAGGGCAGTCACAGCCGTCCAGGCCCGGGAGGCAGGTGGCCCCGTTCCTGCAGTCATCACAGGTGAGACTGCAGTCCTGGCCGAAGGAGGCGTCCAGGCACACTGGGGGCAGACGGGCAGAGAGAGGTCAGGGCCCACGTGGTCCGGCCAGGCTCAGCACCGCCCCCCCCCCCCCCCCCCCCCCCGACCACACTGTGCAAACGAGACCCCAGGGCGGGTGGCGGCTGGCGGCTGGGCCGCCGTCCCCAACAGCAGAGCCCCCACGGCTGGGCCCGCCCGCACCGAACTTCTCCAGCAGCGTGTGCTCGCCCCGGGCCTCCACCGCTGCTGCCTCCTCCTGGGCCCCCACGTAGTCATCTTGGAAGAGGTGGGGCAGCTCGTCCTGGAGCACCGCGACGTGTGGGAGGGGCCGCACGAAGGGCAGCTGGCCGTCCAGGTCCGCCTCGGGTACCTCCAGGGCTGGCGGGGGCACAAAAGCCCCTTAGCCCCTGCCACCCTCCCGTCCCGGACTCCCCCGCCCCTCAGTGCCCAGAGGCAGCTCCCACCCCCTGGGGCCCCACCTATAGCCCCTGCTGCACCCCGCCTCAGCTCAATGGCAAGGGGACGTCCCAGCTGTACTCCTGACCAGATGCGGCAGGGGCGGTGCGGGGGCAGGGGGAGGGGGGTCAGGGGCGGTCTCTTCCCTTGGATGCCATCCCCAGTCCCTCTCTCACCGGGGCAGGGCAGGAACTGGACCACCCCGGACCCCTGGGCAAACCCCTGCCCTGGAGGAGGCCTGTCTGACCAGCCCCTTCCCCGACACCGCTGCCCCCAGCTTGTCCCACAGCCAGAGGCAGGACTGAGGTGGGCTCTACCTGGCCAGGACGGGGGCGCATGGGGGCATAAGGGACAGGTGCCTAGAAGGCAGGGTCCCTGCGGTGACAGGCAGGGACTCACGGGCACAGCCTCGACGGTCCTCGTCCAGCCGGAAGCCGGCCTCACAGGAGCACTGGAAGGAGCCGGCCAGGTTGGTGCAGTGGTGCTCACAGCCGCCGCGGCCGGACGCGCACTCGTCCACGTCTGCGGGCAAACCCGGGGCTGCTGGGCCTGTCCCGGGGGGCCTCGGGGTCTGCCCACCCCCGGCTCCGCCCACCGGACTGAGGTCGGGGCATGCGTGACGGAGGACGACTGTGCCACAGCCGTCCCCCCACCTCCAGCGTCAGGGGGACAGCGGACACCTGCCCAGGGGGGAGGCCGGGCCAGGAGCAGGCGGGGGTGCGCAGCCCGGGAGCGGGACGCGGCTGGCCGGGGGTGGGGGCGGCAGGCAGGGCAGCCAAACCCGGGTCCCCCTTGGGGGGTCCCCCCGGTCCCGCCCGGACCCCCCAGCGGCCCCCGGCTCACCCTCGCAGCCGCAGCCGTCGGCGCTGAGCCGGTAGCCTGCGTAGCAGCCACACTCGTACCCGCCGGGGCTGTTGCTGCAGACCTGCTGACAGCACGGCGAGTCCGCACAGTCGTCCACGTCTGCAGGGCGCACACAGGGCCGCTGGCACCGCCTGCACGCACCCCTGCACGCGGTCACACGCACCCACGCACCTCCCCGGCCTGGCACGCGCGCGCGCACACACACACACACGGGACACGTGCCCCGGCCCCAGGGCCACCCCGCCGGCTGTGGGGGCCAGACTGGGGGCCGCCGTGGGGGTGAGGAGTCCACCTGGCGGCACGGGGGGCAGGGGGGCGCTTAACCAAGTGACCCAGCGGATGGGGGCCGAGGGGGCCCAGTACCGCCTTTCCCAGGCCCGCCCTCGGCCGCCACCCCCGGCCCGGGGCAGAGCAAGCAGGACGGAGGGGGGCACGGGGGCATGCCGAGTCACGGCAGCCAGCAGTGCGCAGTCCGGGGGCGTGTGCGGGGAGCCCGCGCACCGATGCACGTCTTCTGGTCCCGGTCCAGCTCGTAGCCACGGGGGCAGCTGCACAGGGGCCCCGCGCTGCTGTGGCTGCAGCCGTGGGAGCAGCCCCCGTTGCCGGCCTCACAGCTGTTCACGATCTCCATCTCGATCCCTGCAGTGACACCCGCCACCGGGGACGGGGGTCTGGTGACCCGCTCCCGCCTGGCACGGTCCTCCCTGACCCCCTGCACCCCCCCCAGGCCCCTCCACACCCCCTGAGGCCGATGCCGGCCCACCGTCTACTCACGGTAGCACTGTCGGCCATCAGCGCCCAGCTCGTAGCCGGGGTGGCACACGCACTTATAGGACCCCCGGGTGTTGAGGCAGCCGTGGGCACACCGCGCCTGCCCTGTGGCACATTCATCCACATCTGGATGGGAGAGATCGAGGAGGCCCCTGGGCTGCCGGCCTGGGATGCACAGCCCCCAGTGTGTGGGGGAGGGGGGGAGCCTTGGGGTGAAGGGGCCCCTCAGCCCCATGTCCTGCTGAGACGCCCGCACGCAGAGCGGCAGGGCGATGACGCCCGAGACACCGGGTCCTGGTGTTGGTGCCGTGGGGGGCACGTCTCTCGGACGCCCAGGGAAAAGCTCACCGCCTGCCCTGGACACACTGCATCGCCTCACAGACTCACCCTGAGGGTTACGGAGGACACGCACAGACCCGTCCCCAGAGCCGTGTGCACGGGGAGGAGGGGGCACGCCCCAAACTCCTGTGATGGGGTAACGGACGCCCCAGGCCACTCAGCACACACCCCTGAAGCCAGGAATGAAGGACAGCCTCGTCTGGGACCTGGGACCGGGGACGATTCCGAGGGCGCCGGCCCAACAAACCGTGGAGACATCCAGAAGCCGGCCTCGGAGACGCCACCCGGGCTCGGGTGACCTCCCTCCCTTTCTCTTCGTGATCTCTCTTCTGTTTCCCTGACGACCGTGTACTACTTAGCTAATATGGGAACTATTTAAAAAATAAAAACACGAGGGGCGCCTGGCTGGCTCAGTCGGTTAAACATCTCACTCTTGATTTCAGCTCAGGTCAGGAGCTCACGGTTTGTGGGATCGAGCCCCGTGTCGGCTCTGTGCTGCAGCGTGGAGCCTGGAGCCTGCCTCGGACTCTCTCCCCCTCGCTCTCTGCCCCTCCCCCGCTCTCGGTCTCCCTCTCTCCCCCAGAATCAATAAATAGAACATTTAAAAAATAAAATAAGGACTAAGAACACAACCCGAGGTCTCCCACCTACTTCTGCTCAGTGTGTCCCTGCCCCTGCCCATCCCCCGCGCGAGGTGGGGTGCAGAGGCTGGCTCACCCCAGGGTGGGGCATCGTACCTTCGCAGGACCTGCGGTCCGCCCCCAGCAGGTAGCCCGCGTGGCATTCACAGTGGGCAAGCCCCCGGCGCACCTGGCACGTGTGAGCGCAGCCGCCGTTCCGGTCCGCGCACGGGTCTCTCCCTGCAGTGACAGTCCCGGGCCTCTTGTGAGCCCCCCCCGGGGCCCCGGGGGGGGGGGGGGGGGGGCTCCCTCTCACAGATGCGGGAGCCCCCGAGACACCCCGAGAAGACTCTAGAGAAGACTGGGTGCCGGCCAGCTCCTCCTGAGCCTTCTAGTGGGAGCCGAGCTGCGCCCCCCCCGCGACCCCATGCCGCTGTGCCCCCACTGCTCGGCCTCTCAGACCCACCCTCACTCCTGGCCTGGGACCCAGGAGGCCAAGTGGGGGTTGTGCTCTCGCAGTACCTGCCCCATCCCAGCGCCCCGCCCCCCCAGTTTCCACATCTTGGGGCCCCCGGGCCTGCCCCCACCACCTCCATCAGGGAGGCTCCTCTCCCCGTGGCAGGCATCCCTGAGACCCCAGGGCTAGATGCCAGGTGGCGCCCTGTCCACCTCTTCCACCCGAGGGCCCGGGCCTGGGTCCCACCTGCCCACACAAAGCCCAGGGCCAACACACAGATGCCCTTCCCATCGTCCCCCACGTGCCCCGTCCTGGCCTTCCTGCTCCCAACAGATGCACGATCCCAGAGCACAGCCTAGGGGGCTCCCTCTCCGTGCTCCCAGAGCACAGCCTAGGGGCTCCCTCCTCAATGCTCCCAGAGCACAGCCTAGGGACTCCCTCCTCCGTGCTCCCAGAGCACAGCCTAAGGGACTTCCTTCTCAGTGCTCCCAGAACACAGCCTAGGGGGCACCTTCTTCAGTGCTCCCAGACCCCAGCCCAGGGGCTCCCTCCCGGGAGGGCTCCCTCCCGGGAGGGCTCCCAGAGCACAGCCTAGGGGCTTCCTCCTCTGTGCTCCCAGAGCACAGCCTAGGGACTCCCTCCCCCGTGCTCCCAGAACACAGCCTAGGAGGCTTCCTCCACAGGGCTCCCAGAGCACAGCCTAG